ATATCACGAAAACGAAAAGTCGGATCGACAAAAACCAAAAACCATTTTAAAGGGGAAGGTTTACCGCTTCCAACGATGGCTCAGTTATGCAGAAAACATGAGTAGTTTCGAAACTGCACGCGTCTAAAGTTTAACTATTTTTAATACGCGTTGTTAGACTGTTCTAAGCCAGTGGAAACTGAAGATTCTCTCCTTTAATCTTTAATCTTGTACATATATTTCCTATTTACATCGGATGCTAACCAGAATTTGGTATCAAATTTTGTCCAGTGTTTTACAAAAAAATATTAATCGTTCAATCGGTCAGATGACCGTGGTAGGCAAGACAGACTACATATTTTTCTCAGAAAATAAACAATAAGAATAGAAGTGAATATTGTTAAATTCATTGTACGTGTACTATAAGAAAAGTCGTGAAGTTAAATGGCGCTAAAATAATATTGTGTGTTAGAAATTCTAAACGAAATTTTAAAAACGGTCATTTGACTCGAATAAACAGTCTAATCAGATGTGTTTAAATGATGGTTTATGGCATAGAGTGTAAGAACAATGGTATTCTATTACGCCAGAATATGACGAAGATGTAGTATGTAAAGTATGTCTATACGTATTGAAGCTATTATGAAGGTTAAAGGTTTATTAACGAAATATTAAGTGTACCAAAATCGGGATGAATGTATAATGGTAGTAGGGGATTATGTCAAAGAATAGAGAAATAGTAACATTCATTGTATAAATCATATTAAAATAGCAGTTCTTTGTCTCTCTATTTATTGAATGATCCTCGTACAGAACTCCGATTACGGATAAAGAACAGTGTCCAAAAAGCTCCCTATTTGCTCTTGCGAGTTCTCAGAAATAACACAAGCATTGGTACCGAACAAGTCGCAACAAAACAAGGATAGGAAAAGGATAAGTCTAGATCTTGCAGACTAATTAATTTGTTATGGCGGTTGAACTCTAGTGTTAATCACCAGAAGAGAGACTGCTAGTGATTTTATTTCTTTAGTTCTTCGCGTCACGGTCACCAGATGAGCTAGTAGATAGATGGTCGAAGTGGATAGGGTAAACAGCATCGATAGCTCGAAGTAACGATAAATCGAGTCGCATCGTTGGCTGCACTTGTACCTAATCATCATCCTGTTAGCTCTCACGAGTGCTCCCCGTCCCCCGTTGACCCACGAGCGAGGGTGATAATTCAATGTAGAATCAGAATTCGTCCCCCAACTCCCGATGATCCGTCGTGCGCGGCACACACTGATCACCGTGCCCTCCCTGCGTTCCACTGCACCTAACCACCCTCTCCCTAGTCGTCGTCGTTGTTGTCTCGAAACTATACAGGGTGTTCGGATACCATTTATCAATATTCGAGGGGACAATTCCAAAGGTCAAAATCAAACGAAAATCAAGAGTGGTAATATTCCCGTAGAGGCTTCGTGTGAAAGTTATCAATAGACTGCGGATGTTTATGCATTTATGGGAAATTTTAATCCTCAAAAAACTACAGAATGCATTTAATATGCAAAAATATAAGAAATACTTAAAGTAAGATACGAATTGTTATATTTAGGGGCTGAGACAGCCCTCTGCGAAGCTTCCGTTTTATTAATTCTATTAATAAAAATGTGAATTTGCATAAAGATCCGCAGTCTAGTTATTAATAATTAAATTCTCGTCTAAATTATGGCAATCTGCGAGAGGCTGTGTACGCGTGATAGATCGGCCTAGTGGTGCTCACACGACATGAGAAAGTCTACTTATCGACGTATTGACAATCTTACAGTTTTGCATCAACTCGTGGAAAGGCAACCATGTCACGTTGAATGAGATTCACCTGCTTATGAAAATCCAGAAGGGTATATCAAAATTCATTCGACGAGATTTTCACAAAGAGAGGGTGAAAATGCTACTTTCAATACACAATATTGTGCACAAAAGTTATCCATACGCGAGCACACACATACACACACCAGGATTGTTCATAAATAATAGAACCACTAACAAGTAAGTGATTATACAGGATGTTCGGCTACCCCTGGGAAAATTTTAATGGGAGATACTAGAGGCTAAAATAAGATGAAAATCAAGAATATCAATTTCTCGATTGAGGCTTCGATAAAAAGTTATTAAAAAATTAAATTAGAAAAATTTCAAATCATTCTGAAAAAATTATTTTCATTTGCAGGGGTCAGTTTCAATCATTTTTGGTGAATAGATATACCCCAGAATTCTTACGCGTTTTCGAGAAAATAATTCGAGTAGGTGCCGAAATTTTTCGACAAAAAAAAAAAATTACAAATCATTCTAAAAAAATTATTTTTAGTTGCAGTGATCAATTACAATTATTTTGTATGAATAGACATATCCTCGAATTCCTACGCGTTTTCGAGACAAAAATTGTTTACCGAAAAGCACTGTCTGACTCAAACATTCCGATTCCCCTGAAGTTTCAAAAAGTTTCAAACCATTCTGGAAAAATTATTTTCTGTTGCGGGGGTCAGTTACAACCATTTTTGGTGAATAGTCATACCCCGGAAATCCTACCTATTTTCTAGAAATAAATTCGAGAATGGGTGAAATTTTAAGTTATTAAAAAAGGAAGTTAAAAAGTTTCGAATCATTCTGGAAAAAATATTGTTAGTTCCGGGGGTCAATTCCAATAATTTTTGGTGAATAGTCATACCCCCGATATTCTACCCATTTTCTAGAAAAAAATTCGAGAATGAATGAAATTTTAAGTTATTAAGAAAGGAAGTTAAAAAGTTTCAAATCATTCTGGAAAAAATATTGTTAGTTCCGGGGGTCGATTCCAATAATTTTTGGTGAATAGTCATACCCCCGAAATTCTACCTATTTTCTAGAAATAAATTCGAGAATGGGTGAAATTTTAAGTTATTAAAAAACGAAATTAAAAAGTTTCGAATCATTCTGGAAAAAATATTGTTAGTTCCGGGGGTCAATTCCAATAATTTTTGGTGAATAGTCATATCCCCGAAATCCTACCCATTTTCTAGAAAAAAATTCGAGCATGGGTGAAATTTTAAGTTATTAAAAAAGGAAATTAAAAAATTTAAAATCGTTCTGGAAAAATTATTTTCGGTTGCGGGGGTTAATTGCAATTATTTTTTATGAATAGACATACCCCCGAAATCCTGTGCACTTTCGATAAAAAAATTCAGTATGTGTGGAACTTTAAACGTTAATAACTTTTTAGCCTTCATCAACAAATTGGTAGTCTTGATTTTTCTCCCATTTTATATATATTGTATTTATTAAATTACAATCGTTTCTCACCCTGGAATACAACAGTTGTAATACGAAATTCTGGTTTTGAGTGAGTTCTAGCACGAAATGAGTTTTCTTCTTTCGCGATGTATTAAAGAAAATTCTGAAGCCGCATCCTCCCTTAGAAACAGCCCTTAGCTCGATACATTTGGAAGGGGGTACGTATATTGTGGGAGTGAGACCATTGAAGAAGACTGTTAAAAGAAGACTGTCTTTGTTTTTGACAGCACGCAGACAATGCTTTCTCTCTGTTCGAAATTCTGAAGTTTATGGTAGAGCTGTATTCTTGGAATTTTTGCCCATGAACCTCGCCTAACAGCGAGTCTAGACATGCTCCTACAGCTCTCAACAAAGTCAGTTGCTAACCTCGTTACATTGTTCACCGTCAGCGCAAGGAGATACGAAAATGTCGTTTATCATCAAACTCCTTTGTAGACTTTAAAAAGCACATTTGAAAATTCAATAACCAGACTACAGATGTTTATGCAAATGCACATTATTCCTAGGAAATAGATAAAAGAGTGAAACCTAAATAGAAGTTTGTTTCATCACTAGAGGTCCTTAAAACTTTTTATAAAACCGTATGTCGAAACATACTGCATATGTCATATACATTTATTGCATTTCTTTTCATAAAATTAATGCTTATATGAGCCTCCAAATATTTATTTCAGTGTACAACTATAAAAAACCGTTACAAAAAACTCAAATATTGCCTAAACTATCGATGGTACCACAAAAATGTATTGGACTTTGTGTTCCCCTCGTCGAAGCCTATAATTTAAAAAAAAAAAACGAATTCGATCCGACAACTTCGAAATTTAAAACTTTAAAGTCATTTTTTTTAACATACTGCATATGTCATATATATTTATTGCATTTCTTTTCACAAAATTAATGCTTATATGAGCCTCCAAACATTTATTTCAGTGTACAACTATACAGTACATATGCATTTATCCCGTTACAAAAAACTCAAATCTTTGGCTAAACTATCGATGGTACCACAAAAATGTTTTGGACTTTGTGTTCCCCTCGTCGAGGCCTACAATTTAAAAAAAAAAACGAATTCGATCCGACAACTTTGAAATTTTAAACTTTAAAGTTTTTCAAAAATGGCTGGCCATAAACGTCCAGTATTTCACAGATTACATTTGGACATCAGCCCCTACATTTCTACCAAATTTCAAATCCCAGGTGACAGGTCGTGACCCCTTGTAAGTGTGAACCACTATGACCAGCCTACCGTGCGCACGCAGCTGTCTGCAGATTGCCATAATTCAGGCGGAACTTAAATTCTCAATAACTTTTAAACGAAGCCTCCATCGAAATATTACCATTCTTGACCTTCGTCATATTTTGGCCCTCTGATATTGATAAATGATATATCCGAACACCGTGTATATTCCACAAGATTACGCAGGAAATGGTGTTTAATGGCAACGGGTCAGGCTGGGTCTGACCCCCCGGTGGTGGACGCGGGCTATAGGATGACCTGCACGCCGGACAGAGAAAAACGCCGCGTGTTTGATCGAATGCCGGAGAAGGACAGCCGCGCGTGTGTGGTCCCCATCGAGCAATTGACGTGTCCGAGGAAGTGATAGAAGGATGATGGCACAATGCGCTTGAATCTCCCGTAAGCGAGTGGGTTCTATATTAAACTGGTCCGGTTTACGGGCCGTTCGGCTGTTCATCGTTCAGTCAGCGGACTCTGTCTCCAGACGGCTGGGGATCGGCTTGGCCACCGCTGAATCCGATCCTGCTCCCGTCGTTCCTCGCCGTGATCGATTCTTCCTCTCGACCGGACGCGCGGACACCAGCCATGTCCTCACGAACGGACGGTTCCTGATCGGTTTGAAGTCACGTTGTCGCGGAGAAGCGCCCAGCGACGGTTCCGTGGAACGGTAAATCGAGCTGCACCGAATACTTGATCGGCTCTCGACCAAGGAGAACCAGTACTCCCGTGGGGACTCCTAGCGATCGACTGCAATCGGAACCGGTACCTGGAGCGCGCCAGTTTTGAACTCGTCGTTTAGGCAGCCGTACACGTCCGAATCCTCTGGGTTTCTCTGGCGAATGAAGTGACATTGACCACGATCAGCAGCAGCGATCGGTAACTAACTATTGTCAACCCTTCGATACCGCGGCGAACAAACGTGACATGATTGCTCCGGTGGGGTCCGCCTGATAAACACTAACATTGGTATGTAGAACGCGCAACGGTAATATTTGGACTCTATAGAGTATGTTTCGCTTTGTGGTTGTATTATTTAGTTACGCGTGAAACATGTTCGTTCGTTGTTCCGATGACAGGTCACTTTGACGGGCTAAAAAGTTTTGTTGAAGGTTTGCAATTATTATCAAATTTTTATGTGTTATTTAACACAATATACAGGGTGTTTCAGATGATTTTGCCAGGTTGATTTCCTCGGTATTGTGGCAGGTAGCGAAAAATGTTTTATAGGGAGCTTAAATGATATCGAGTTGGGCATATTCTTGTGTTATTAATTTTTTCAACTTTGTTTTTTTAAATGGAATGAGGTACTTTATCATGCATCAAACAATGCAGCTAGACATTCTTTATAAAAAAGTACTGACCTATGTATGTCGAAAAGCAAGTAGCTTAGGAGATATTTCAATTTAATGTGCCTTAAAAGGATATATGAAGGTCAATTTTGGTTTTTTAAATGGAATTATATACTTTTCTATGCAATTATACTTGTTTAGGAGATAGTTCAATTTAAATAATTTAAATACACGAATCTTAGAAACAAGCGCTTTGCGTGCACCAAGAGTTAAAATTTATATTTGTATGTATATGGTTACATTACAATTTCTGTACTTTTGCCAATTTTTTAAATCTTAATCTAGTAATTTACAAACATATTTTAACATATAAAATTTAAAAAACGTCTAGATCTGAGATCAACGTCTCCCAATCATTTTTAGTCACGAAAAACTTTTCATCTCACAATGTATTTTTAAGGCAATTACATTATTTTGGGACTATTTGATATTTGGAATGAAAGAAAAGGATTATCGTAGCCAAACGTACTTTTTTTGAAATGAGAAAATAAAGTCAGATTTTGGAAGAATGATTGGTCATAATTATACAATATCTTAAAATATTTGTTTAATCGAAATTTTATATTTATAATTATTTAGCCATTTCATATATCTGTTTTGCAAAAGTCAACGTACAATGATTGTACAACTTAAATAATTTTGAAAAATGAGGCGTTGAAATTTTAATGACTTCCATTACTTGAGCAAATAACTACCCCAACTTCTGAGCATCCCTCAACTTCATATAAAATTAAGGAACATTTACGAAATGCAAAGTCTAATCTGGAAAGATTATGTCAGACATTTCTCCTATTTCAATTCCGGTTCGATATTTTGTTACGCATTAATCTTTAAGGGTAGGCTTCAACCCTTTAACACTAGAACTACCAAAGCAGTCAAAATGACCCATTCGTAATTTCTAATAAAACTTGTGAAAAATTTACTCGACTAAATTTTTGAAAAAATTTATCGTAATTTTCTATAAGAGAATATATAAACACTTATTTCCATTGCATTATATATTTCTTCGCGTATCTATCGTTTCAATTTCTTTGGTACAAAATTACAAATAAACACACTATAATTGTCGGTAGTTCTAGTGTTAAAGCGCATACATATCTACAGATATACAAAAACACGTGTCACTTAGTTTTTAAGTATCACAACAAAATCGAAGAGCGATCTAATGTTCCTCGTAAAAAATAAATTCCCAAAAGTATGGTATTTTGGTATTTTTCGAACACATTACGAGACTCCAACTCTGTGAAGACCAGCTTCCCCGTTATAGTTGTATTAATTTCTATCGGAAGCTAATTCTTTTAACGATGAAAACTCTTTTTGACTATTTCAGGTATACGCCATTTTCTGATGTGGAATATCTGAACACGGCCCGTTCAGAGAAGATCCATAAAGCAACATTCTTCGATGATGTTGAAGGCAATAATTTTCCTGCTTCTGCACTTGTTTTGCGACATCGGTGAGCGCGATTATGAAATTTATCGCGAACCATTCGTAATGTAACGTGGGCCACTTGTACTTTACCGTGGGTCACATAAAATTTATCGTGGGCCATTACAATTTTGTCGTAGACCGTGGGTCACTTGCACTTTACCGTGAGTCGCATGAAATTTATCGTGGGTCATTGCAATTTTGTCGTGGACCATTCGTAATGTACCGTGGGCCACTTGCACTTTACCATGAGTCACATAAAATTGATCATGGGCCGTCCACAGTGTACCGTGGGCCACTTTTACTTTACCGTGAGTCACATAAAATTTATCGTGGGTCATTACAATTTTGTTGTGGACCGATCACAGTGTACAGTGGGCCACTTTTACTTTACCGTGGGTCACATAAAATTTATCCTGGGTCACTACAATTTTGTCGTGGGCCGTGGGTCACTTGCACTTTATCGTGAGTCACATAAAATTTACCGTGGGTCATTACAATTTTGTCGTGGACCGTGGGCCACTTGCACTTTACCGTGAGCCACATAAAATTTATCGTGGGGCATTACAATTTTGTCGTGGACCGTGGGCCACTTGCACTTTACCGTGAGTCGCATGAAATTTATCGTGGGTCACTACAATTTTGTCGTGGACCGTGGGCCACTTGCACTTTACCGTGAGTCACATAAAATTTATCGTGGGCCATTGCAATTTTGTCGTGGAACGTGGGCCACTTGCACTTTACCGTGAGTCACATCAAATTTGTCGTGGTTCATTACAATTTTGTCGTGGACCATTCGTAATGTAACGTGGGCTACTTGCACTTTACCATGATTCGCATAAAATTTATCATGGACCGTTCACAGTGTACCGTGGGCCACTTTTACTTTACCGTGAGTCACATGAAATTTATCGTGGGTCATTACAATTTTGTTGTGGACCGATCACAGTGTACAGTGGGCCACTTTTACTTTACCGTGGGTCACATAAAATTTATCCTGGGTCACTACAATTTTGTCGTGGGCCGTGGGTCACTTGCACTTTATCGTGAGTCACATAAAATTTACCGTGGGTCATTACAATTTTGTCGTGGACCGTGGGCCACTTGCACTTTACCGTGAGCCACATAAAATTTATCGTGGGGCATTACAATTTTGTCGTGGACCGTGGGCCACTTGCACTTTACCGTGAGTCACATAAAATTTATCGTGGGCCATTGCAATTTTGTCGTGGAACGTGGGCCACTTGCACTTTACCGTGAGTCACATGAAATTTGTCGTGGTTCATTACAATTTTGTCGTGGACCATTCGTAATGTAACGTGGGCTACTTGCACTTTACCATGATTCGCATAAAATTTATCATGGACCGTTCACAGTGTACCGTGGGCCACTTTTACTTTGCCGTGAGTCACATGAAATTTATCGTGGGTAATTGCGACTTTGTTGTGGACCATTCGTAATGTAACGTGGGCCACTTTTACTTTGCCGTGAGTCACCAAATTTATCGTGGGTCATTACAATTTTGTCGTGGACCATTCGAAATATAACGTGGGCCACGTATACTTTACCATGAGTCACATAAAATTTATCGTGGCTCACTCGAGATATATCGTGGACCGTTCACAGTGTATCGTGGGTCACTTTAGTCTTATCGTGGATGACACAACGTTTACTGTGGGTCACTACAATTTTGTCGTGGACCGTGGGTCACTTGCACTTTACCGTGAGTCACATAAAATTTATCGTGGGTCATTACAATTTTGTCGTGGACCGTGGGTCACTTGCACTTTACCGTGAGTAGCATAAAATTTGTCGTGGGTCATTACAATTTTGTCGTGGACCATTCGTAATGTAACGTGGACCACTTGCACTTTACCATGAGTCACATAAAATTTATCTTGGGTCATTACAATTTTGCCGTGGACCCTTCACAGTGTACCGTGGGACACTTTTATTTTACCGTGAGTCACATAAAATTTATCGTGAGTCATTACAATTTTGTCGTGGACCATTCGTAATGTGACGTGGGCCACTTGTACTTTACCATGAGCCACATAAAATTTATCGTGGGTCATTGCAACTTTGTCGTGGACCATTCGTAATATAACGTGGGCCACTTCTACTTTACCATGCGTCACATAAAATGTATCGTGGCTCACTCGAGATATATCGTGGACCGTTCACAGTGTACCGTGGGTCACTTTAGTCTTATCGTGGATGACACAACGTTTACTGTGGGTCACTCACAGCTTATCGTGGGTCATCCTCGATGTAACGTTATAGACTTAACAAAATAGCACGTGGGTTACATTACATTTATCGTGGCTCACTCGAGATATATCGTGGACCGTTCACAGTGTATCGTGGGTCACTTTAGTCTTATCGTTTAGTCTTAACATAACGTTTACTGTGGGTCACTCACAATTTATCGTGGGTCATCCTCGATGTATCGTTATAAATTTAACAAACTAGCACGGATTATACTTCGATACCCTATTCATGAGCATAATGTTTGTGATTTCAGCGTTGGCAGCGAAGTGCGGAAGAGTATGGCTGACAGTTTCCTCCTTGTGGAAACCGATCGCTGCCAGTGACAAAGTGGTCGACACTGAGCTTGAAGTGAATTGGGATATCGATTGTCCATCTGATACAGGATACCCGGATACCATCAAGGTGTTTAATACTGATCCAGAGCGTGGTAATAAGTCTTCTTTAATTCTTCTTAATCCTTAAATTTTCATGTTTTAAGGATTAAAATCCATTCGTTATCGATCGATCGCAGCTTTAATAAATTCTTTTCTTACAAAAATATGTGTTTACTCGTATACGAACGTTGTAACTCATGTTTTAGAGATTAAGTCAAGTTCCATCGGTGTCTATTGATCGTAGCTTCCATGAATTCTGTTCTTTCCAACACATTCCGTCTATCGTTGCAATAAATTTCGATCTCTATGCGTGATACAGTAGCAAAAGGAGCGACACAACTAAAAAAGTGTAAATTTTACAGAAGAAAGATAAGCAAATATTACAATTCTTCAGAATCTTGATTTTATGTTGTTTGAAAGATCTGAACCAAAGCTTCATCCCAGTCTACTTTTATGTTGCTTGTTAAAATTTAAGAAAATGGGGAAAGAAATCGACTTGCATCATCTTGAAAGATGGTGTTTGTTATTAAAACGGTACCAGTCGACGCAACCACCGACGCCATGACGTTGTGATTTCAGATACGAAGCTCAAGCCCAAGTTGGTTTTGACTTCGTTGCAATTCCCTCGGGGCTATTATCGAACGAACATCACAGTTGGTCACCCACCACTTCCTGGTGGATGGGACACCAAGGATGGCGCCACGCATCCTGGTCCTCATTGTTTGAAACATTATGCTGCACTTTACAAGGATGGCGAAATCCTCACCAGTTCCTGTTTGCGGATATGGCCGACATGGATGTACGATTTAAGGTAACTAATTTGTACCAGGGGTTAGAAACAGTTATGGTATCGGTTCCGGGATTTATAACTGTTTCAATTTAAAGCCGATATACAAGGTGTTCCGCATTTTTCCGTACACATTTCAGCACTGTCTTCTGCAAGTAAAAATAACTCTAAAGGATTATGTAACAAAAACTTCATAAATTCTTTGTTAACACTTTGGCGGCCGTTGTCACGTATACGTAATGCTTTTTTATTTACTAAACAAATTTTCTAAAATTTTGTTTATTGAGTGCAACTGCTAGTTGAGGAACGAAAAAATATTTTTAACGTAGAATTATGTGGATAACATTTCTTTATCAGAGTTTAGTTTCTATCACTATACTGAAGTACTCTGTCTTTTTGTTGTCATAAAATTTTAAACGTTCAAGTTTCAAACACACGATATCGAATGTTTGCAAAAGATTGATTTCATTTTATTATAAATTCTTTTTCCTATTTTAATGCCCCAAGTCTCAGGCGAATATTATGCAAAAAAAAGGTCTCCTACATTGTTTTAAACAAATAGTGATATACATCTGTTATATGACTAGTTTTTACCAACCTGAGTAAGATTTTTTTCGACCATTTTTTTTTATTATGTCACTTCAAAAGTAATGCACAAATAATTTATTTAGTTTCATAAATGTTTTCACAATCCTTTAATATAGTCTCCTCGGTGATCTTTAATTGCTTGTCAGCGTTTGAGAAGGTCGTGAATGCTAATTAATTCCTTCCTGAAGTTTATCTTCCTAATACATCGGCTCACCGCTATACTTAGCGCCTTCAAGTCAGGATAACAGCTACCTCACACGGGTTAATTAAGTTCTGAGAACAAATCGTTGGATGGAGAAGCAATTTCCAAAGATATTTTTTTATTTGTGTAATCACTGGTTCTATTTCACGTTGGTTGGGCAGTATCGTGCAGAATCTCTTCGTAGTTTTCAAATGTTTGGGCGTAATTTACAAGGGAAGGACTTTAACTGTACCATTTCGATTTTAACGACGATTTGTTGGTTAATAGAACACACATTTCTAATGATATATGGAAGATTAGCTGTGGATATTTGATAGTTTTGAAGATACAATTAATTAAATGGGTGTTTGGTCGTAAAAATTGCGACAACAATGTGGCATATTGCGTGACTTATAATAACTTTATACAGGATATTTGGCATTGATTTGGAAAAATTTTAATGGGAGATTCTAGAGACTAAAATAAGATGAAAATCATGAATACTAATTTGTTGATTGAGACTTCGTTAAAAAGTTATTAACGTGTAAAGTTTCGCCTGTAGAACAGCTAAGCATCAGGTTGGTCCTAGTGGTTCTCAATTACAAAACATAGTGGTTCTCACTTACAAGAAACGTTTGGTAATCGTAAACATTCTAGAATTCGTGTCATCAGTAATGAAATCAATCCAGTAACGTATTTATTAATACTGACAAGTAGGTATTTCCAATCATTGCCATAATGTGCATACATATTGTATTTGTTGACATTTTTTCTGGTATCGAAATAACTCAAACATCACATATTGTTGAACAGTATTTAAATTGGATTGTTTAAATCAAATTATGTTTTTGATTGTTTAAGTAATCTTGATTATCCAAGGAAACTTGATTATTTAGATCAACATGATTTTGTATTATTACTTAATTATAATATTATATGTGAATAATAAAGTTTAGATAAGATTATGGGTAAGCTTAGATAAAGTCATTCTTGATAATTCTAGAAGTCTATCGATATTTGTAAACAAGTTAGTAAAAGTTAAAGAATGTTTGAAAATTTTAATATATAATATTAAAACGAAAGATAGGTTTAAAACCTTAATACGCGATATAAGTGTAACTCTTAAAATTAACATATAAGTTTTTAACTTATTATATTATAGTCATTCTAATATTTTGTATAAATATACTAATTAATGTGTATAATTAGTATACAGGGTGTTTGGCCACCCCTGGGAAAAATTGTAATGGGAGGTTCTATGGGCCAAAACAAGACGAAAATCAAGAATACTAATTTGTTGATTGAGACTTCGTTAAAAAGTTATTAACGTGTAAAGTTTCGCCTGTAGAACAGCTAAGCATCAGGTTGGTCCTAGTGGTTCTCAATTACAAAACATAGTGGTTCTCACTTACAAGAAACGTTTGGTAATCGTAAACATTCTAGAATTCGTGTCATCAGTAATGAAATCAATCCAGTAACGTATTTATTAATACTGACAAGTAGGTATTTCCAATCATTGCCATAATGTGCATACATATTGTATTTGTTGACATTTTTTCTGGTATCGAAATAACTCAAACATCACATATTGTTGAACAGTATTTAAATTGGATTGTTTAAATCAAATTATGTTTTTGATTGTTTAAGTAATCTTGATTATCCAAGGAAACTTGATTATTTAGATCAACATGATTTTGTATTATTACTTAATTATAATATTATATGTGAATAATAAAGTTTAGATAAGATTATGGGTAAGCTTAGATAAAGTCATTCTTGATAATTCTAGAAGTCTATCGATATTTGTAAACAAGTTAGTAAAAGTTAAAGAATGTTTGAAAATTTTAATATATAATATTAAAACGAAAGATAGGTTTAAAACCTTAATACGCGATATAAGTGTAACTCTTAAAATTAACATATAAGTTTTAACTTATTATATTATAATCGTTCTAACATTTTGTATAAATATACTAATTAATGTACATAATTAGACGACCACCTCTGGGGAAAATTGTAATGGGAGGTTCTATGGGCCAAAACAAGACGAAAATCAAAGAACACCAAACTGAGAACCACTGTCGTGCGCGCGCAGCTGCTCGCAGATTCCCGTTCTCCATGCAGAACTTTAAACGTTAATAACTTTGTAACAAAGCCTCAATCAACAAATTAGTATTCTTGATTTTCGTCTTATTTTGGCCTCTAGAATCTCCTATTAGATTTTTTTCGAATGTATGTCGAACATCCTGCATATATAGAACATCGCTAGGTATGCAACTTTAATTATATTTCTAAAATAATCAAGTATTTGCAGCTAAAATTTCACACGTGCGATTAGAAATATATATTCTATTATGGTATAAAAAATTTTAAAAATCGAAGTGACACAATCGAGCCTGTCCCCTTGTCAGTGAGTGGGAATGCTTCGTTATATGCTTCATTTGCTCTTACACCCTGTAAAATACTATATCATTATTTGCTTCAGTGTTTACTGTTGATAAGAAAATTTTACGTCTTTGATGCCATCTTGATCGTCATAAACCATTGATATAGCAATTCAAAAGCAGCAAACAACGAGCATACAAAACATTGTTAGTGCATCAGCTGCAGAGTTGGGTAAATTTTATTCACGATCAAATTTTCGATCGATTCATAAACTTCTATGTACGTTTCATTCGTAAATTCGTTTATAAATTAGAATCTATCAACAAATTTTTTGAATTAAGAGCAAAGCCGTGGGCAAAAGCTAGTTCACGAGCGAATCCAACATTTTTATTCGCTAATTGAGCTCTATGAATTACTTTTGAAGTTAACCTTATCTTTATATTTCCCCTGATTCTTTTTAAAAATGTTTAAACGCGTTTTATTTGCTTTTCCTTTCCTCTCAGAAAGCTATTAGGAAGGCTACCGATTGGAAGCTTGATGATTCCCGGGACCCACAATTCAGGATGCTACAAACATGGAGACCTGTCGAGAAGGTTGGCCTATCAACGATATTTATTAACGCAGGACCGTGACGTATGGACGCAGCTGGTGCACGGTATCAGGTATCTGGACATCAGGGTGGGTTATTATCCATCCAATCCGAATGGGACCACCAACGCTGAGGAAAACAACCAAATAAGCAGATTCTGGGTCAACCACGATATATTTCGAATCACCCCGTTGTCCGCTGTTATCAAAGACGTGAGAAACTTTTTGAACGTTGCTAGGGGAGAGGTCGTCATCATGGACTTCCACAGGTAATTCGACGATACAGAATAATATAATGCTGTCAATTTGCAAATCAATAACGTTGGGAATGCGTCGCCCCGATTGTGGGACAAGTGGTTACGAATTATTTAAATCGAATATCAGCGAACAAGCAGAATAATAAAGAAGCGATTAATATGAATATATAATTGTTTTCTATTTTGGAGGGTATTTTCTTTTGGAATATCATTTTTCATGAATTCATGTTTCGAAAATTTAAGTATGCATTTTGTATGTAATTGTTTCATGTGTTCGTAAAATCGTTAATTATTTTTAGTTGTGTATTTAACAAACTTGTTTACAGGGTTGCCATTTAATTGTGGATGTTCGACTCAGTTTAGACATAATTAGTGCATGACAATCTTAATCTATATTAATCTATATTTTAGAGTAGTTATTGCTCGTATTAGAATGATATATGAAGAATATAAATTAACACTGAATTTTTCGTATATGTAGAATTCCTGTCCCATTAAATTCACATTTTCCATTCACAAAATGGCAGTTTATGTACTCGTTTAATATTTTTGTTGAAAAATTTCGGATTTTTAATGAATATAATCGCCGCGTCTATTAATATAATTGAAATTTGAAATTAATAATGTATTTTTTTCTATGGATCGCGATTCATTAGAATAGATTTGTTAAAAATCTGCTACAACTTCGTCACGTTTACAAATTCCGACAGTACATGTCAAAAACACATTTTTAGACGTTTGTAATTCAAAAAACTTTTATTTAAAAATTGACTTTTTGAACCATTGAATATGAACATACGTCATATATTTTTCTTCGTTTATTTCAGGCGTAGAATTTTTCTTTTTTCTTTAAAAAAAACTCCTTTCTAAATGTTGGGAAATATAACCTTTAAATTTCAATTATTATATAAAATTAAATTATTATTGTGAATTAATTGTTATACGGTGTTCTCATTCGCCATCTACAAATTGTATAAATTATTGGAATAGAATGTTGTCTATTTCTGGATCGATGTTTATGTCGATATACATTGCATTTCATGAGAATTAAATAAATTGGTTGCAAATTCTCATTGATATACATATAAATACAATTGTTATTGGAAAATTAAAGTGTAATTTAATATTAATTGATTTTGTGTTTAGATTTCCAGTGGGATTCGAGGGAAGGCTGTGTAGGCATCGACGATTGGTCAGAATTCTTAATCGTGAATTCAAAGGACTGATTCTAAAACCTGACATGGGGGTCGAAGGTCTTGGTCCAACCTTGAATGATATTTGGACCGATGGGAAACGTTTGATAATCTGCTACGGCGATAAACACACCGTTAATGGTAAATTTATAGCTAAGTTTCAATCTATTCGCCATTTCAGATGGTTTGTTCTTATTTCCACACTTGCAAATATACTAAAATTTTTACAATTTTTCTATTTTCAAAATAGAAAACTGTAAAGCCTTGTTTTGGAAGCTTTAATGCTCCAATATCTTCTAGACTAATTATTTTTCATCATGAATTGGTTAATAGTTTTCCACAGGAAATTACTAGTTACACCCAATGATTTATTAAAAATGATTCTTTTAAAAAAAAAATTTATAAAGAAAGAATTATCAAAACCATTTAATTTTTGTTTCAAAATTTTTTCGACATCATCAACACTTTTAAAGATATTTGGGTAATATAACAAAACTTAATTCTTTTTCCCAAAGTATACACGATAACTTTCTAATTACAATTATTCATCCGGAATTACACTTAAGCAACGCCAAATTAATATATGTATAAAGATAATATTTTCAGTAAAAAGTTCGTGTATGTACAAAAAAAAGGCTCATTTGTTTTAAAGATAGAGTGGTGCCCCAAACTTTTGAGCAGTGATATATGTACATGATATTTTAATCCTTCGAAGTACTGGGTTAATGTATTACCTCATTAAATTCTTGCAACTATATTTCAAATTTACTCTGTTCCATTATAAAAATTAATACGAAATTCTTGACATATGTTTTCAACGTATCTACTTTACTATTTAAAGAATGTTTTATTTCTCAGAAAAAAACGTGTTTAATAATTTATATTGGCTACACATGTTCTGTTCGTCAAAGGGTTGAAGTAGATTTGATGAATTTCATGAAGTATAATATGCAAGGTGGACTACTATTCTTGCACCTTGTTCCTCAACATTTGACACTTTCTCTGCTTTAGCTTAACCCTTTGCACTCCGAATTATATTTCAATTTTGTTACCAGCAGCTCCCAACGCTTTTAACACTTTACCGACCGGTAGCGGTTGATTAATCGGCTATCGGTCGGTAAACGTCGACCGATAAAACAGTTGATTAATAGGCTATCGGTCGGTAAGCGTTGGCCGGTAAAACAGTCGATTAATAGGCTATCGGTCGGTAAAGTGTTAAGTGTTTTATTTGAAATTTACCTGTTAAAATATCTGTTTTATTTACACTGTTGTTGCATTTTGTAACTTTCAAGATATCTCTTTGGTTTGGACTTGAAAAAATGTCGAGTGAGGCTTGACAAAGGAGTTCCTGAGATAAAAATTGATGTCGAATCACACTCGACATAGGAATGCAAAGGATTAACACTATTTCTATCACGATTTTATGCACACCTATTTCAACCTATTTCAAGTCCTTGGACACCTTGAATTTGCATGATGCAAATAACTGTAAATGTTATTATATAGAAAAAAAAAATGATTACATTCAGAAACTAATATCAAGTTAAAATTTTAAAAAGTCTTTTGACACCTTTGGTCAAAATAGTGTTGATTACACAATGATTCCTTTCAGAGTATTACTGGCTCTGGCCTGCGATGTCCCAAGCCTGGGGCAATCAACAGACGGTAGAGGGCCTGTTCAAGTATTTGGAAGACGTGATCATAGGACCGAAAAGGTTCAGCCAGAACCCATTGTGGGCGTTGATGGCGGAACTGACGCCACATTTTCAGAACATGCTCTTTAATCTATCCGGTGGACTGCGGGAGATGGCAGATTCCGTGAACAGGAATCTGACGCTGAAGTTCCAGGAGGAGTGGTGGAACGAGACCAACATAGTAGCCACGGACTTTTTCCTCGGGAACAGTCTGATCGACGTGTCGATAGAGGCGAATATCAAGAAGAGATTGTATTTTAATTAGATTCGTCGACGATAAAGGAGCTCTGATGAAAAAGATGATTTGTTCGGAAGCTTGGCCCTGTATCCTGTTGCTGTCTTGTATAGAAGATTCGCCGAATTCTAATCACTAGACCGCGGATGTTTATGCATTTATGGGAAATTTGAATCCTCAAAAAACTACAGAATGCATTTAATATGCAAAAATATAAGAAATACTTAACACTTTACCGACCGGTAGCGGTTGATTAATCGACTATCGGTCGGTAAGCGTTGGTCGGTAAAGAAGTTGATTAATACGCTATCGGTCGGTAAGTGTTGGCCGGTAAAAAAGTCGATTAATAGGCTATCGGTCGGTAATGTGTTAAAGTAAGGTACAAATTATTATATTTAGGGGTCGAGACAGCCCTCTGCGAAGCTTCCATTTCATTAATTCTGTTAATAAAAATGTGAATTTGCATAAAGATCCGCAGTCTACTAATCACCAACGATTGATCGAAGTTCAATTGTTCACCACTCTGCGAATCTATGTTGTTACTTTGTTTTACTAATTTGAAAGAGATCTATGAATCCCTGAAGCTGTTTAGAAGCATGTTCTACCGTGATGGAGACTTGGTCGCGCTAAAATACAAAGGTAGTTTACTTTGAGTATTTAAAACTCGAGATTCATTAGCCACAGTGATTTGTGGCCTAAAAGGAAGTCACTGACTAGAAAATTAAGAATCACTGTGACTATTGTGTAGAACTGGAAAGGTGATTAGTGAAAAATAAAAAGCAAAATGAGCTTAAAAACACCTTATTTAAATAACTACCAAAGGAACAGATTTATGCGTCATAGTGCTAAAATTTCATTTACATTTTAATAGAAGTAGGTCAGAGTTTAGTAGATGTGACCATTTCCCCCAATACTAAACAATGATCGAATATACAGGGTGTCCTATACGGGTGTAATCGGTGGTACAAACAGTAACATGGCGATTCTAGATGAAAAAATGAATCGAAAATGTAGAATAAAATTTTTTCATGCAAAATCGAGAATGGTGCACCAGGATAAATTGATTTACCAGATTTCTTTATATCTTATGTAACTTTCTGTTCGAATTAATTTTAATCAGTATTCAAAGTTACACAAAAAATTGAATGTTCACTTTCGAAACAGACTCTTTTATTAATTTACTTTTTATAGCATTTACACCTACAATATTCCTCAAAATGTTGTCCAATTTGGTTCACACATAATCGTACTCTTTTTAATAAGTTTTAACAAACCTTCTTTAACTCAATATTTTACACTTTTAATCGTTCAAACGTTATAATAATTTACTTTAACTGTCCAATACAAATAATATTGCTTTACATTATTTTTTTTCTCAATTCAAAGGACCAGAATGCTGCGATAAAGTCCGTTCTATCGAGGCGACCCGGCGCGTGCCCCAAAAATTTTCAAAGTTATTTTCCTTGAAAACTAATCCTCGAATGGAAAAATTTTATTTTATATTTTCGATTCACTTTTTGACGAAGAACCACATTAGTGCTTATACCACCGCTTATCGGACATCTTGTATAGATATGTGCATAGAGGTTTCAGATATTGCTTTCAGATGAAATTACAAATGCATTCGATCCTACAGCGGTGTAAGTCTATTTGTATCCAATAAAAATATTATTTCATTTTAGTGATTCTTATAGAAATAATCGACTGAAACTTCTTGGCCAATTATTTGTTTGTCGAATATCCGAACACCTCAGCGATTAAAATTTCATTATTATTCGGATATTATTGGCTATTCTAATGTTTAAACAGGTTTTCGATCGTGAAAAGAGATTTACAGATTCAGAAATTATACAAAAGTAAAAATATAATTTAATGATATAAACAACTTTCGATAATTTAATTCATAGATTTCATAAAATATTAAAGACTAAAATGATCAGTAAAACTTTCCTATTTTCAACTTTCATTACGAAGCATCTTCGAATAATACTATTTATATTATAGTACGTAGTAAAAATGTATGAATACTTAAATGTACAAACACTTCTGTATTTAAATAGCAATATTCGTATTTCATTCGAGTGTTTGTGGTAAACTATTTGAGTAATTCCTGATCGAGTTTGAATTCATAAAATATGGTACTATTTGATCTTCGATGAATTTGAGAAGTTGCGAAAGTTATGAAGATTTGAAGAATATGGCGCATAAAGGAAGTAGGTAAAATTGTAAACTGCACAACTTAAAAGTTGTCGTAACAGTTACTTTTCTAATCTCATTAAAATTTACGAAGCCTATTAAAATTGATTTTCTTTAACATTTCAACTTGAGAATTCATTGTTTTAGTTCCACTGTTAAAAGATCTGTCACCCATATATGGGTGACGTGGCAGTCAACGTGTTAACGATTATTACAAATTTTGATTTATTTAGTTAGCTCAATTTAAAGCGGAGATATTTTTCCCATCAGGTTTGTAGGTTTCTTTAAGTAAATAATATTATCGACATTATTTAATTTGTTGACATTAGAAAAATTGTAAAAACATTTAGAATTCAGTCTATTTCTTTTGTTATCAACTGTGATGCCTAATAATCTTTTTAAGTACATAGATGATAGCAATGTATTGAAGATATGATAAGACACTCTACACGTTTGTATATTTCATATAACTAAAAGAAGATGTATATTTTACACGCGATAAATATTTAATATCTTTATATGTCACGTTTATACGGTGTAAAAATGGAATATGAGTTGATGTTGGTCGAACAATTAGTTTCTCACAATATCTGTCAATATTTAACAAACAAATGAGTGTAGTATTCAAATTTACTAAACAATTGTATTAAAAAATAGTCTAAAAATATGTCCAAACTTTTAATACCTCTTTCTCGTATTTTTTTCGTAAAATAATTATTTCGTAAATTGCCCTATCATTTTGTTCGACCATCAGTTGCTTGTTGCACATTACATAAACCTGATATTCGTTTCAAAAAATAAAAAATTTCAAGCTGTACACAGACAAATCAATAATAAATTTAAAATGTTAAACATTCATCATATTTCTCAGAAACTATTATCTTTATGACATAAATCAATAGGACATAAAATGTGTATTTTGATGAGATCTACAACTTTTACCTGAAATATTTATCAAAATTCCCATTATTTACGTAAGTAAATAAAAGAACTATTTTTATGGTTTTTCCAATAAAATTTGCGCCAATTTTCACTATCATACTTGCAATCAGTATATAAAAATACGTAAGAATCCAGAGGATAAAAAAAATCGGAGACATGTCCTTGAAATTGTTCTTTCTCTGTGAATTACAAAAAAAAAAAAATAGCATAAAAGTTTCGGGCTTCGAGAACTCGAAACGTTTAAATTTCTAGATTCGTAGATTTCGAGCGTCCCGTTACCAGTCGAAAACAGTTCGAATGTGCAAAAAGTCTTCTCGTTTGGCTGTTCCTAATGCTCTCTCGTTACGACGCACGAGCAAGTGAGCACGGAAACAAACGATCCGACGTTTCGGAAACGTGCTCCGCCCAGAGACCGACGGCGCCGTGTTTCAGGCGGCGTTGATTTGACTTCCAAATGTGGCCTGACGCTGGATATCACGTTTGGGACACCGGTTTTTCGAGGAACGTAGTCAGTCGTCTGCTGGCAGCCACCGGCGGCGAACCGATGCGTCGAGAATTTTAACGCGTTTCATCCCATCCACGCTACCTAAACGTCTCTAATATCGATAGATAGCCTTCGATACCGTGGTTTCCATTCTTCTTTTTCATTTTCACCGTCACCGGTACGTCGTTGCTGTTGACGAACGTCCCGTCGAACCATAATGCTGGCAACGACGCGAAAGACGCGCTGAGGAATCAGAGATCGGTCGAGTAAAGGCAGTTCCCGGTCCTTTGTTTCTCGAAACAGGACCAGGTCGACCGTAAAGGCCAAAACAATGGACGATCTTGCACGCGAAACGAAAGAACTGTGGGCTATTTACGCCTGGTGGTCGTGCGTCCTAATATTGAAGATGAACGCTCTAACGTGGTTCACCGGGCGGATTCGAGTAACTAGACAGGTAAACAGCCTTTTTGTTCTTCGCGTAGCTTCCGTTCTATTCTTGTCTTCCTTGCGAACGGTCTTCGGTGGCCTTGCGATACGAACTCCATCTTTAAACTCGTTGCTATAATCAGACAACGAACACTGGTGGACACGATCGAACGCTCCACGGCGTTGTATTACTCTGACGACGAATTAATATCGTAAGAGCCAGTTGAAACAGTACGTGTTGGCATGTTGCGATGATGTGTCACACACAACCTGCGGAATGATTATTTGACCTCTTCGAAGAGGCTCGAAGTCGTTCTGGTCGAAAGAAAAACGCAATATCGACCAGCGATATGTGTAAATCATATGGGAGGTGTTCATCGTGTTATATGATTAGAAAATATAATTAAGATAATATGAATAAAATAAAATTGACAAATTTTAATCGAAAAGTTGATAGAGCAATGAATCGTAGCTCTCTCGGTATCTTCCATTGTTTCATTTTTGCAGCATAAAATACACATCAGGTTAAAGATATACACTTCTTTCGTAAACAGTGAACGTGTAATTATTATGGATTACGTTACTCTCATTTGTATTTGTACACCATAATGGCGATTCACTATAAATGAAAAAAGTTTGTTTCTCATCAACTGAGCCGTTGTTTTTAAAATGTATATAGGTTAGTTATGAACATTTAATGACTAGGGTTGCAATGTTCACCTCGTCGATGCAGTTCCAGGAATTGTCAAGAACAACTGAGCGAACAATGTTGACAAAGTAGCGAACATTAGCGAGGGACTATCGTGGTACACGTGATTTCCGTTCTCCATAGATTTCAAATTAAAATGTAGAAAAGAATGCATCTAGGATTGTTAAAAAAAAAATAAATAATACTGAAATGACGGTAATTGTACCAAATTTTAAGGTTTGACGGTCGAGTGAAAAACAGATCTAAATTATTTGTAACTTATGGCAACATTTTTTTATATATTCGAGAATAAAGAGTTTTATTTTTTAGGTATTAGTAGTAATTAATTAGATTTATTCAGACAGTATTAACAGAGAATATTGGTACAAATATATAAATTTTTTCTTATTTATGTATAACGTAATTTACATTAATTTTGTGTTCTCACTATTAATAGATTACAAATCGAGTCGAATTTTGTATACTTTCAACACGAGCACTTCTAATGTATCTATACTACTTTCCTTTGAATTGTAACAACATAAATTCTGAGTGAATATTAGTAGCTTTGTGAAAGACAATTTTCATGTTTTTGCTACTACATAATGCATCGAATATTTACGTAAATACAGTGCTTATATTGTTTTTTTTGTATCGTCCTTGAACTAGAAGAAGGCACAGTGTGTTTACATCCCCACTCCTGTTGCAATTCGCTGACTCACTGGTATTGGTCGAAAACGGTGACGAAGATCGGTGAGAGCCAATCAGCGGACTGCAGGGAGAGTGGGGATGTAAACACGCTGTGCCTTCTTCTCGTGGAAGGACGATACTGTATTAGGTCATTCCATAAGTTCTTTTTATTGATTAAAAAGATCTTTATAATTTGCAAAACTATAATTGCATTAAGTAAACTAGATGACGGCAATGTCACTTTCTTTTACTGTTGACGTATTAAAGTATAGCGTTGAATAACATTTTAATGAAAAATCGAAGAAGTCTTATAGCTACGGTATAATAACTTTACTTACTAATTTTTATAAAATTCCATAGAATGTTTTAAATATTGCTTTCAGTTGTGATACAAAATTTAATACGAACTTATAGGATGATCTAATAGAAATCAACCGCAAGAAGCATACAAAATGATTCCATTTAGAATTTAAAATTCAAAATTTTTAAATGAAATTAAATCCATCGCTAAAGAGGTCTTCTAATGAACGGAAAAGTAAGATTTTTTGTTAATTTTTTACGATGAAACCATTAGATTTTTAAACATGAAAGTTTCGCTCACTTTGTTATCCATCTTTTGAGGATACGGTATAATAACTTTACTTACTAATTTATATATTTACTATTTTTATAAAATTCCATAGAATGTTTTAAATATTGCTGTAGGTTGTGATACAAAACTTAATACGAACTTGTAGGATTATCTAATAGAAATCAATCGCAAGAAGCATACAAAATGATTTCATTTAGAATTTAAAATTCAAAATTTTTAAATGAAGTTAAATCCATCGCTAAAGAGGTCTTCTAATGAACGGAAAAGTAAGCATTTTTTGTTAATTTTTTACGATAAAACCATGAGATTTTTAAACATGAAAGTTTCGCTCACTTTGTTATCCATCTTTTGAGGATACACACAAATTTTTTCAATACAAAATAGTAAAAAATGTTGGAGTTCCATAATGATATGTACAGGGTGTCCCAGCTAAAGTGTGACAGTCGCGATACTGCAATAACTATTGATGATACGGAGAAATTGTTTATATGAAAATTGCAGGATAAAATAGGATCTTTATTCTGGCGTAAACGGAAATTTTATTTATGTTATTAATTTCAAAGATACGATGATGAAGTTTCGTTTTTTAAATGGAACTATATATTTTTTTTTGGATCATGCGATAGTGTTTTTCAATACGAATTCATTAACCTGCAATTTATTTACCCGATTTTCATTAGTTTTCAAGATATAGCGCTTGGAAATTTACTGATTTTCGGCGAAGACGTCTCGGCTTGAGTGGCAAGTCATAAAAGCGGCCCTATTGTTGCGCTGTTTGACTCCGCCTGTTGAAACCGATAGCAAGGGTCTACGCTCGGAACGGCAGGCCCGAAGAGTCAGAAACATGAAAAGTATTGAGGATGGTGATGTCGCTAATAATTTGGATGATTGGAATAGTTATTGCAGTATCGCGACTGTCACACTTTAGCTGGGACACCCTGTATAGTCTGTTTTAGAAATATATTCTACTTATTAGTAAGAATACAGTTATAGCCCGAACTAAAAAAATCCAATATCTCAATTTTTTAAAAACTGATAACTAGACTGCGGATGTTTATGCATTTATGGGAAATCTTAATTTTCAAAAAGCTATAGAATTTAGTTAATATGCAAGAATATAAGAAATACTTCAAGTAAGGTACGAATTATTATATCTAGGGATTGAGACAACCCTCTGCAAAGCTCCAATTTCATCAATTTTATTAATAAAAATATGAATTTTCATGAAGATCCGCAGTCTACTGATAACAATTTAAGTTTGATGTATCAATTTGTCCTCATTTTACTCGTCTTTAAGATAAAAAAAAATAAAATAACGCGTCTTAATATCCCTAGACTGTAAAAACATGTCTACTAAAGATTTATTAAAGATTTTAAATGAATCGGTCAAAACTATTGTTATAACTTCATTATTTTTACAAATTTCATCAAATGGCTTTGTAGACACATTTTCGAGGTTTCCAACTTTAAAAAGATGCCAAAAAACATCGATTTTTTCACGTGGATTACTAGAAAACCTCTTCATGCTGATTCCAATCAATTCCTTACTTTTTACACGTAAAATACTTTTCCTAATTTTATTTTCTTTCCTATTATCTTCTCGCAATAAGTAAATGAAAGATCGATGTCTTTTAATCCCACTTCGTGTTCTCGCCATCACGAGTAAAAGTGATCTCAAAAAGGACATCTTTTTAATTGTAGAAGCAGCTCGACGGCTTTCAAAGTTTGAATTTCATTAACGCAACGAAGTCCTGTCCCAACACAGAGCGTGAAACATTTTTCGAGCGGAGTAGACCAAGTCGCTCAAGCAAGATTGCATCTCGTTAATTGGATCCCGTCGTTCTGATCGATTTTGCAGGTGATCCACAGCGAGGAGGACAGAATGTGGATGAAAGGTCCTGACATAATTTTCTGTCCGACCGGAGGCGGCCACGAGGACGTAGATCGCATTCGAAGCGCGCATCGGCACGATCTTGGATCCGTGCTCCCTTTCTTGCTAATCGCGCCGCTATGGTTGTCTGCGTCGCCGTTGTATCCCGTGGCCAGATCGATTCTTCCTTGCTTCGCGACAGTCAATCTATCGTACACCCTGGTGCACATGGAAATCGTCAACGTTCACCGTCGTTGCACAACTATTCTCTCCGCCGTTGAACTTTGCATCTTGGTCTGCATGTCCGCCATGTCGGTGCTCCATCACGCGAACGCACTGTGGCTCGAAGAACCTTCTCGTCATTCTGGTTAAGTCATTTGTTTCAATTCCATGAACAAGTTTCGTTCGATATGTAGTTGCAATTGCAACGATTAAACTGATTTACGTCAATGAGATGTGAATATCAAAATAAACGAATGAGATTGATATGATGTATCTTTGTTTAAGTTGTAACAATGATTATTTAGAGAAAATAAGCTCAATTGATATAGGTAATCAACAAAATGAGTAGAGATCTCTTTTGTGGGACCAAATTTTATTCTCAATAAAGAATAACGACAAAATCCACAGATTTAATCACGAATAAAGAATAATGGTTTCGTTAAACGGGAAATTATTCTTTATCCGTGTAAATAAAATTGTAATTTTGTGATTGTAGAATTTTTAGATGTCTTAGAGATATAGTCTATAGTGTGTCTAGATCGAGTTAACGGATTTTACAAGAACGATTGATATGATGTATCTTTGTTTAAGTTGTAACAATGATTATTTAGAGAAAATAAGCTCAATTGATATAGGCAATCAACAAAATGAGTAGAGATCTCTTTTGTGGGATCAAATTTTATTCTCAATAAAGAATAATTACTAAATCCACAGATTTAATCACGAATAAAGAATAATGGTTTCGTTAAACGAGAAATTATTCTTCATCCATGTAAATAAAATTGTAATTTTGTAATTGTAGAATTTTTAGACGTCTTAGAGATATAGTCTATAGTGTGTCTAGATCGAGTTAACGGATTTTACAAGAACGATTGATATGATGTATCTTTGTTTAAGTTGTAACAATGATTATTTAGATAAAATAAGCTCAATTGATATAGGCAATCAACAAAATGAGTAGAGATCTCTTTTGTGGGACCAAATTTTATTCTCAATAAAGAATAACGACAAAATCCACAGATTTAATCACGAATAAAGAATAATGGTTTCGTTGAACGGGAAATTATTCTTTATCCATGTAAATAAAATTGTAATTTTGTAATTGTAGAATTTTCAGACGCATTAGAGATATAGTGTGTCTAGATCGAGTTAAATTTTGAATTTAACATTTGTTTGTATGTCTTTATCACTGACCATATTGCATTGTGAATTAAATATTTTGTTTCGTTGTTGATTCTACAACGAAAAAGAGGAGAATATAAAAAAGGAGGAATGCAATATTTATTTTAATATATACGAGAAAGTATGAAGTTAAATTATAAAAAAAAAATAAATTTTCTTTTTCTGAAAGATGTTTAAATTTGCATTCCCTCTTTTTCCTGTGGATCCTTCGATTATTATCTCGAAAATGACACATGAAAAGTATAATTACACAAGGTAAAAAATAAAAAATACTGTTGCTCTATTTCAATTCTATAGATGTAAATTTTATCTTTTTTAAGACTCATAGTTACTGTTAACTCATAGAATATTAAACTAAAAGCTGTTGCAACATGAATCACAAATATAAATTATCTCTGAACGTGAGAAAATATTACTGTGTTCGCAAAATGCAATATAATATTGCTGATTTGAACTTATCTGGTCTCTGAAATCACAGCACGTTGTCACTTCTTTGTAACGTGATGACTGGTATGCATAATAAGCAGAAATTATTGAAGGTCAAGGCAGTCAAGAAAAGTGTATTCTAAAATTCACTTCCTTTATATTCTGTAGCGAACAAATATATTATAGTTATTTTCACAAATATGTATCACTCTTAAAACAATAGCATAATCGCTATATTGTGCATTATTAAAATTAATTTGCAATGATATATTCTATTTGGTTGAAAGACAGAATATATTTTTGGTATAAAATTAATTTGCAATGATGTATTCTATGGTCGACTGAATGATAGAATATATTTCTCGTTTAAAATTAATTTACAATAACTGTACAATTGTGCAGTGATTGCATAATTTTAATGATACACTAGAATGATGTTTATACACTTATATGTTGAAATATGCAAACGTCAAAGAAAAAAGATAAATGGTTTGAAGAGCACTACATTCGCAGGCACTTGAATTTTTATTAATTACAACAGTGAACGTGCAATTAATATTTGCATAATTTCTTTAAATGGAAATGCACAGTTTTTATTGCACAGATCGATTCTTCCGTTCGTTTTAAGTAAAAAACTCGAAATATTGTAAAAAAATATTTTTATCGACTGGCAATAATTTCTCCATTGAGATGGAATAAAAGTTCGAAGATTATGCAGTATTAAATTTCGTTATTAATGCTTAACAATGTTCCATTATATAGTCTTTTACTTTATACAGCTATTTCTTGAGAAGACATCATCTTTTATTCAGAAACTACATGATATGATATGAATCCAACAATCATCATGTAATTGATCATAAAATAAATCTACAATAAACTCATTAATAATTCATTATTGATGCATAGATAATTATAATCTCAAAAACAAACGATTGAAAAATTATCAAGGCAATCGAGATCAATTACAGCTAAGTTACTAGCATTGTGATGTAAGAGACGCCTTTCATTTCAAATCTTGTGCAAACATCAATTCATTGTACAAAATTAAATTGACGTTAAAATAACTTTAGAAAGGTTACTCTTGCTGTTCGATTTAGAAAAAAGGAAAGTATTTTAATCAAGAAAAATTCAAGTATTCTTTTTTAGAGAAGGTGCATTTTAAGACTCCTTGAAACAAGGTTTGGCCATTAAAAAGAATTAATTTGTATAAACACATATTTATTAAAATAATTTTATTTAAACAGCTTTTATATTTAAGTTCCGTATTCTCATCCAACTAATCTCTATAAATTTGATACATATTTTACATAGAACAGTTAAACAAATTTTATGATATATAATATAAAAAAAAAATTAAACAAAATCCTATTTATTGCATACTTAAATAATAAATATCCTTAACTGAAATAGTAAAGTGATATGTTGAGTATCCTGACACGTATTCGTCTCTGCTAATTATTCTCACAGACTCTACACGAAGAATAAAAAATGTCCTGTCGTTTCGTAAGTTAGTAATTTAAATATTATTTAAAATCACACTAGTTTCGCGACACCCAGTATAGCTCGGACAAAGTTTGTAGAATCTCCACGTACACACATGCACTCCCGAGGTTCCCAATTCATAATCAGACATGAAAGAAACCGCAAAAGAAATTAATTGTACTCATTATTTCGCAGACTACTATACGCGTATGCTTTCCTCTGCATAGTAGACTGACGATACAATATCGCATCGACGATCCTGATCATTCAACTTACGGTCACACACTGAACGTACCAAACTGTAGACGTCGTCGCATCGTATCTTCATTATCATTGTACTTAATTGATAAGTACTTAAAATTTACAGATTACAACGTGTCTACTGTGTTACGTATTTAAGGCTAGTGGTCGATCATTATGTTAATTTTTATCGCGAGTTGAGCGTATCCGGAGAATAAGTCGCGTCAGTCGGTAGTCGACCAGCAAGAAAGACGTTGATCCTGTGAGAAATCGATCTCGATCGAAATCGGAAGATTTTGGTAAGTTTCTGTCACCAATTTTTACCACGATTCGATGCATCGATGTCATCAATGCGATTAGGAAAGAACTTCCTTTGCGAATATGTGGAAGCAATTAAAATTATTATCTATATAGTTATCGTACACTTTTTTACTTATTTTGCCCATGTTTCATTACGTGAATATATCATCGCTTAGCATATTGAAATTGTTGTTGTCTAACTTAATTATTTTAAGAATTCTTAAATTGTCAATTTTTAAGATGCATTTTTAAAAAATAGCTTGATGTGTAGCATAAAAATCTATTAAAAACGAAACATTTATTTTCGCAGTCTGGTTACCTTTGTCTTGACTATAGAAATATGTGAAGATTTATTTTACGAAAGCGTTGTATAATTAAATTTTATTTCTTTTTGTCTTACTTCGTGGATATACTTATGTGATTATATTAAAATTAATTTAAAACATTTGTTCTGTGAAAAATTTTCAATCATTTATAAAAAGGCGTCCGTGCGATCTGAAATCACTAGCAAAATATTTACGACGAATGCGATTCTGTTTGATCATTTCCTTTCGAAACTGCTAGGTTAATTCATTTGAAACCAGTATGCCGGTAATCTTGAATCCAGAATCGTATACAAAGCATAAGTATGTATGAGGAATATGTCATTTGTAGACCTTGACACGCATTCGCTTGAATCACTGTAGGTCTTAAGGACTCTATCTATAACAGTTTGGAGTTACAAAAATTTGGTAACATTTGAGATTTTTTTGGAAAAACTACCAAAACATATTAATTTGAATGGTTACACTTACATTCGTGCACCGTTTGCCATGCTATAGGAATTTTTTTTAAGTACGATTCATTGATGATAATTTTAAGATTTGAAATTTCGATGAAATGCAATGCAAACAAAAATTTGATCTATTTTATCTCCAAACCAGACATGTGCAAAATTATTATCTAGATACAAATTTTGAGTAATTAATGAACTATAAACAACTTTTGATCCCTTACTTGTTCATTAAAAACTACAATTTATATTATAAAGTAAAATTATATTATACAGTGTATTTCTTATCTATTATTTGAATAAAATTTTGCTCACTTCTGTCCCAAACTAGGTAGACAACACAGAAATGAAAAAACAACACTGTCAAGTTTTTCGAACTTTACCATGATTCAAATTTCGAATACAGTACGTAACAGTTTTACTAATTTTCATTCATTACAACGGGGGTACGTATTATACTTGTATCTGTAAAAAAAAGAAAAGAAAAACACTTACATATTCATTATAATGACACTAATAACAGTGACATTGACTCGGCTGCACTATATGAGCTTCTTTCTAAGTAATGAACTGTTTACGAATAATATTTAAACAGATCTCTTAAAAACATAACTAATAATGCAAACAACACGACAAAAATGTTCGTTACAAGTTATGGTGTCTGTGATTTATCAATCTCGTTGCCGAATTTGGTGAATAATTTGCGCTCAACCGCGCATGCGCAGCGACGCATATTAACTACCGCGCGCAATCTGATATAGTGAAACGAGCGATTAGTGAGGCGGGGAACCGCGACATGGAAAACGTCAGTTGGGTGTTCGCGGAGCTGGAAATTTATAAGAGCTCCGTGCACAGATTCACTCAGATCGCGCTTGTATTCGCCGGTATGTTTATCTTCACAATCCTGTATTTGTTCGTGCGCGTAATTGGCCGTCAGATTTAGAGGTTAGATGACCCTTGTCCTTCAGTCGTAGAAAACGGCTGTAACCAAGGGTGAGAACAGTGACAACAAAGCTGAATGCTTTACGCGTTGGTCGTACGCGATATCGCGTTCTTCCGTCGTGATTTGCGGGAGGTGCACGTAAAATTTAAAACATGAAACATAGGAATACGACGGTGCTATAATTCAGTTTCAGTGTCGGAATAATGGAGATACAAGAAGGAGTCGTTCGTAAACGGACTTTCCGAAGTTATTTACAACACGTACCGCGTCGTTTGTCGGAAATAGTGGAGCATTTCTTTTATGGGTGGGTATAGAAAATAATTCGCAGCATAAACTATACGTTTTACATTGTTTGCTTCGTATTTTCTCCAGACTTGGGTTAAGAATCGCTCGACGACCACTGAAATGGCTGATTGGCAGTACTGTGATAGTTTTAGTTTCTCTTTCTGGTTTATATTCCTTTCACCAAGAAAAGAACCCAATGAAGCTATGGGTTCCACAGGATTCCGATTTCATTCACGACACAGAATGGATGATCGATCAGTTCGGGCAAGGATTAAGAATAGAATCTATGATATTAACAGCTGACAACGTATTAGAACCGGAAGCTCTTGCGACAGTAATTATCACTTTTTCTGGAATTGTAGCGTGATAAAATGAGCTGCGACTATAATGCAAGCTGTACAATGTTATCAATAGCATGATGATTATATAAGTGTTTAAATCGTTGCAGTTGAACGAAATAACGAAGCAGATTATTTCTGTACAAACTTCTGACCACATTGCATGGACAGACGTATGTTTCAAGTAAGCATTCTTCTGTGCATACAAGCGAATAAATTTTATTTTATGATAATCATAAAATTTAGTAAGAAGCTAAATTAAGTTTGTTTTCTTCAATATGTAGAGTGCCTGTTATATCAGGTATTGTACATAGAAAGAAACGGAACCCAGAGTTTGATGATTTTTTTGAAATCGAACCTGATATTAATAAAACCAGGATTGAACCTGCGGTTCACGCTAACGCTCAGCTGTATTGTAATATAGTGGACAACTTGCCAAAAGCTTGCCTTTTAAATAGTATTGTGGACATATGGGAGTACAACAATAATGTAATTCTTCAAAAATCCAGAGAAGAAATTCTCAATGACATAACCAAAGCAAAGGTTAGCCCTACCTTAGGACATCCGCTGAACTTTACAGAATTGTTGGGTGGCATAACGAAAGATGAACAGGGTAGAATTATCTCAGCTAGAGCTGTAAAAACGCAGTGGGCAGTGCACATAAATTTTTCAAAAGTGGATATGGATAACTTTGGGAACGACGTTGGAACAGCTGATTGGGTAAGGTAAGTTCATATAAAGGCCTGAATCATGATTTAAATACAAGTGTTACTAAATTTAAATGCATTGTAAAATTTTACAACACTGTTTATTATAAATATGTTTCGTGTATATAACATATCATATAATTTAAATAATATACATATATTAAGGGTTTTATATGATTTGGGCCTTATTATATATTTAAAATGATTTTGTCAAGATCAATTTATGTTTGCTTACTACCAAAATTATCGGTCACTTCATATGTAAATTGTTAACAAAACTATGGAACAATTTTTCAAAATGAGTTCTATAGATTAATCTTCTTAAAAGTACTTAAAAATTCATACAAATATATTATTTAGACTTTATTATTTTTATAGTTTTATTCGTTAATTTTTATGTTGGTTATATTTTCAAATGCTTGGTTTAATTTTGATTAGCATGTTTAAATATAAACGTACCTTCTGCCTGAGTTTTGAAAATGATCACCTCATCATTTATACACATGGAATAACCTCAGAACATTTCTGAATAATTCTGTCTGGTCACAAGCTCCGCGAGTAAAAATTCTTCCATTATCCGAAGATAATCATAATTTAGAAATATAAGCCTACAAAATGAAAAATAGACATTCAAATCTAATTAAAAACAAGCAGTTCCATACTTGGAAAGTGTATGGCTTCAATAAATTATTCGTCGAAGTGAAATATGCGCGCAAAACAATGAAGTGACTGTTAACCTGTTAAAGAATGTATCAGATTGGAGATGTAAAATATTTATGGTTTATTACAGTGGAATTACATATTCAAAAAGTTTGTGCTTGTAGTGCATGAATATATTATTCTTACTGCGTAAAAATATTGTAATTTTAACTCGGAAGTTGACTTTTTATTGAACTCGGTGGTCTTGCCTAAACTGATGTTTTCTTATATGTGGTACACGTGATTTCCGTTCTCAATAGATTTCAAATTAAAATGTAAAAAAGAATGCATGTAGGATTGTTAAAAAAAAAATGAATAATACTGAAATGACGGTAATTGTACGTGGCCAAATAAATAATTAAATAAAAATGTTTCGGTCAAATTTTAAGGTTTGACGGTTGAGGGAAAAACAGATCTAAATTATTTGTAACTCATGGTAACATTTTTTTATATATTCGAGAATAGAGTTTTATTTTTTAGATATTAGTAGCAATTAATTAGATTTATTCAGACAGTATTAATAGAGAATATTAGTACAAATATACATATAGGTAACATAAATTTTCTGCTGTACACAGCTCTCGCAAGACAATGGAATCGACGCGTAGATCCCCTCGCGTGCCAGTGCTGCCAACATTAAGCCTATTTCACGCTACATTCACTCATCAGACATACAATTAATAAAAATAACCCACCTAATTTTTTCGTTATTTTATCATGTAGAATCGATTCCGAAAAACTGTTTCACATTTCTGTTGATAATCTTCATGATGCATGTACACATCATGGAATACATATCGTTTCAATATTATCTTCACTTTTGATCCTAGGCGAAATCAGTAATCACAATTTATTACTTCACTTTTGATCTCAGACAAAATCAGTACTTACAATTTATGACTTTGCTTAAACGACTACTTCTTAACAGTTGCATTCCTATTCATCTATTTAACATCCAGAATACTATAACATCAACAACTCTTTGAAAAAATGTGGTGATTTATTTCTACAGTAGTTCACTTTTTATGTGTAGGCTACGGATGATGTATTGAAATGGGAACTGTCCTATTTGGATGTACTGCACAGAAATGCAGAACTGTTGAATGCTATGAGACGTGTAAATCATACACTGGCTATCTGGTACGAAGCTGGTAGAAGTTTCGGGGATGTTACTTTTGTAACAATGTTTGGAAATATTGATATACTGTCGATAGGATTCATTTTAATGTTCTTCTATGTTCTAGTCATATTTTCTGATTATAATTGGGTGGGATGGCGAGTAAGTTTCTTTTTAATAAGACAATGTAATTGAACAATGTATCCTGAAAAACCAAGCTACAGTAGAATTGATATTTTGATTTAAAGCACATGTTATAATAGCAATTACAGAAAATTATGATTAGAGATTCAGGGTACTGTACTTGTCTTTTTTAAAATACAATTTTTTGTAGATTTACCTCACAACTGTTGGTCTTTTATGCGTGGGAGGTGCTTTTATAACTTCAATAAGTATTTGTTCTGTTCTTGGAATTCCCTATGGGCCTGTACATACTTCTTTACCATTTCTTTTATTGGCTCTTGGGGTCGATGATAACTTTTTAATAATGGCATCTTGGAAAGAAATACACGCAGACAAGTCAAACCGAAAAAAGCCATTAGAAGAGAGGGTAGCTTTAATGTTAGGACATGCCGGTTCGGCAATTAGTATTACATCTCTGACCGATGTTGTTGCATTTATTATTGGTGCATCAACAGTAAGTTTAAACGAATTTAATCAACAATTTAAACAATTGTATACGTTGAATTAAATATACATACCATCGTATTTATTTTTAGATACTGCCATCGCTTCAATCATTTTGTATTTATGCAGCTGTTGGCGTCCTATTGACGTTCTTATTTCAAATCACATTTTACGTTGCGTTTTTCACCTTGGACGCTCGACGAATAGAGAATAAACGGAATTCGATAATACCGTGTATCGTTCACGATAATTATACACAAAAGTTTGTCAGACCGGAGGAAGAATTTTCATCAAAGTTAATAAATAAATTGTATTCGAACGTGGTTTTAACGAAACCTGGAAAGTTAATAATAGTATTAATAACGATTGCCACAGCGTCAGCGGGCATTGTGGGTATATTGCAATTACAACAGTGGTTCGATCCACGGTGGTTCATACCAAATAGTTCGTATCTAAGCAAGTATATTAGTATTAAATATCTCGAGTATCCTGATCGCGGTTACGAGGCAATAATTCTTATGGGGAATTTTAATTACACTGCCGAATATCCAAAATTAATATATTTAACAGAAAGTTTTGCTAATTTATCGACGGTGGAGAAGTTGGATTCGTGGCCCAAAGATTTTGCAGAATTCGTCTCCCAATATTATCACAAAGGTTAGCAATGTTTTTTAACGAAAACCTGAGAAAATGTCTCTACAGCTTTATTTATATTTGGGGTGATGAATCTGAAGGTCGAATGATACAATTTTTTTTAAATATACAATTAACATTTGATCTATAAAAGTTTTTAATTTTAATCTTTTCACGAGGAAGTGCATTAAAAAAATTTCAATTAAATTTCTTGACTGAGGTTGCATTAAAGTTATTAAAATATTAAATTAAAAAATTTCTAATCGTTCTGGAAAAATTATTTTCGATTGTAGGGGTCGATTACAATCATTTTTGGTGAATACACATACCCCTGAAATCCTATCCACTTTTGAGAAAAAAAATCGAGTAGGTACTGAAATTTTTAGATGAAATTAAAAAATTTCAAATCACACTAAAAAAATTATAGTTAGTTACAGGGGTTAATTACAATCATTTTTGGTGAATAGATATATTCCGAAATCCTACGCACTTTCTAGAAAAAAATTCTTTACCGAAAACCTAATGTGAGGCCAGATATGCTTCCCTACATGCGGATCTTTAAAATGTCATAACTCCTGAACGGATTGGAGGATTTTAATTTTTCAAAATGCAAACAACGCGTATTTTCGCGGAGAATATGTAGAAATTTTAACAATATTGAAAACGTTGTTCCTTGACACCGTAAAGTGAGGAAAACCCCCCCAAAACTGGTTCAATTTTCAAACGGCCATAACTTCGACAATAGTGAATATATTTCATTTTTGAGGGGAAGTTGAATTCATGGGTACCTACAAAAAAGTATTAAACAACTATTCTGTAGGGCATGAAATAAATTTATTAAAAATGAAAAACAAATTTTTAAGAAAAATTTTTCGGTGAAAAAAAAAATGTTTCAAAACGTTCTAAAAAAATATGATTGGTTTCAGGGGTGAATTATAATCATTTTTGGTGAACAGACGTACCCCCGAAATCGTAACCAGTTTCGATAAAAAAATTCAATAAGTGAATAAATTTTTCGACAAAATTAAAAAATTTCAAATCGTTCTGGAAAAATTATTTTCGGTTTCGGGGTTTAATTACAATCATTTTCTGTCATTATAGATACCCTCAAAATCCTGCCCACTTTCGAGGAAAAAATTCGAGGTGTGAAATTTTTCGACAAAATTAAAAAATTTCAAATCTTTCTGGAAAAATTATTTTCGGTTGTTGGGGTCAATTACAATAATTTTTGGTGAATAGACCTACCCCCGAAATCCTACCCACTTTCTAGAAAAAAATTCAGTAAGGGCGGAACTTTAAAGTTTAATAACTTTTATTTAAAATAATTAAATTGTATGCGACCTTATTAGTCAAGTATTATAATTCCTTTACATAAATACTTGCTTAAGAACATATAGACACAATTAAAAACTGTTTAACAAGACTCCAAAATAGCATTAAAATTGTTTTCAAGTAACCAATAACTTGATAAACGTATGTATAAATGGGTGCCATAAAACTACGTTTAAAATTAGTGAAAATATCCTACAAAATATCATCATTCGATCTTCAAAATTTTTCGAGTATCATAAAAAATCTTTTGGGGTACAGCTGTAGAGTTTTCTTGTGAAACACGAAATAATCATTATTGTGACTGATAATTTCAATTTTTAGATTTAAGGAACACAATATTGGACGAAGGCGATTTTTATAGTTACCTGTCCAGGTTCTTGTTCAGCCGAAGTGGCGGCAAGTATCAGCGAAACTTTCGTTTCATCAGGGATCTAAAATGTGGACAAAGCGCTCCGCCAATTCTAGCAACCACCATAGACTTTAACTTCAAACGATTCCACGGTCCTCATCAGTGGATCCCAGCGATGGACGAAAGCAAAATGGTGGCTCGCGGTGCCGGGATCGACGGTTACGTTACAGTCTGGAGCGAGGTGTTCAGTCTGTGGGTAACCGATAAGCTGATCGCTCAAGAGGTCCTTCGCAATGTTTTGTTGGCACTGATTTGCGTTATGGGGATGACAGCAATATTGATCGCCGAGCTGCAAACTTGCTTTTGGATCTTTTTGTGCGTGCTTCTCACACTACTGAACGTCTGTGGATTCATGTACTTTTGGGGTCTGACGATCGACATCGCGTCTTGCATCGGTAAGGAATCTTTGTTTGCAGCAGAGTTGGATAAATTTTACTCACCAATAACAAATATTCTAAATTTATTCTGGATAGCAGGTAAAAAAGATATATAATAGGAATCTAAAATTCTTATTCGTTATTCGTGAATAAAATTTGTACAGCTTTGGTATGTAGTGACATCTGTTGGGTCATTCTCCTCTTCTATTAATGCACTCATCCTCAGAGTGTAATAGTTTTAGAAATATGCTTATTTTTCGTGTGCCATTTGAATTCACTATAATCCCACGTGACTTTACAATTATACACCCAGTATTTACATTTTTGTACATTTATTTATTCTTGTTATCATTGTGTATCAGTTTTAATTTTAAAACAGTAGTATAGAATGTATTACACCAGTATAGGTATGTACACGTGGTACTTCGCGTTTATTAAACTTCTGCAAACTTAAATGTTGTTGAATCGACTCAAAATGAAAGAATTTTTACTGTCTGTTTTTGAGTTGGTCACCGTCCATGTTGTATAGAGTTTTTGTGGCAAGTGGATTATTAAAACCGTGGCAGTTTCGATACACTAAATATAAATAACCTATACCGGGTGTTCGGCCACCCTTGGAAAAATTTTAATGGGAAATTTTAGAGGCCAAAATAAAACGAAAATCAAAAAATTTGATTTATTAAAAAATTTGAAATCATTCACGGAAAAATTATTTTCGGTTGAGGGGGTCAATTATAATCATTTTTGGTGAATACACATACTTCCGAAATCCTTCGCACTTTTGAGAAAAAAATTCCGAAAAGCGGATAATTTGTTCAACAAAATTGAACAATTTCAAATCGTTTTAAAAAAATTATTTTTAGTTGCAGGGATCAATTACAATAATTTTTGGTCAATAGACCTATCCCCGAATTTTTACGTACTTTCGAGAAAAAAATTCCTCACCGAAAATATAATTTCTGGCCAGAAAAATGGTACCCCGAAATTTCATGCAAATCTTTAAAACATCATAACTCCTGAACGGATTGGATGATTTTAATGTTTCAAAATGCAAACGATGCGTATTTTAGTGAAGAATATATAGAAATTCCAAAAATATTCGAAAAGTTGATCCTTGACCTCGCAAAATGAGGAAAACCCCATAAAAATGGTCCAATTTTCAAACAGCCATAACTCCGACAATAGTGAATATATTTCAATGGAACTTTTTTCTGAAGTAAAGCTTATAGGTACCTATAAAAAAGGATTAGACAACTTTTCTATAGGGTGTTAAAAAAAATTACTAAAAATTAAAAACGGATATCTAAGAAAAATCGACAGAGGAGGACCTAATTTTTCGGCAAAAGGAAATTTTTTCAAATCGTTCTAAAAAAATTATTTTCGATTGTGGGGGTCGATTACAATTATTTTTGGTCATCATACATACCCCCGGAATCCTACCCGCTTTCGAGAAAAAAATTCGAGAAGGTTGTGAAATTTTACGACAAAATTAAAAAATTTCAAATCGTTTTGGAAAAATTATTTTCTGTTGCAGGGTTTAATTACAATAATTTTTGGTGAATAGACCTACCCCCGAAATCCTACCCACTTTCTAGAAAAAAATTCAATACAGGCGGAACTTTTAACATTAATAACTTTTTAACGAAGCCTCCATCAGCAAATTAGTATTCTTGATTTTCGTCTTATTTTGGCCTCTAAAATCTCCCATTAAAATTTCCCCAGGGGTGGCCGAACACCCTGTATACATATGCAATATTTATAATCGTAATGATATACTGGGAGTTAAACAAACGTTCATCGTAGGTTACTCTTAGGTCGTAGGCACTATCTATGGCAGAGAATAGCATATAAGGTTACATAATTATCTGTCGATTTCGAGATATACTCATTACATGACACTCGGAAATATTAAGTCTATTATTTACCACGACTGACGCTTATTACCCATTTGCATCATGGCTCTACTTAAGTTGTTGGTCTCAAACATCTGTGCCATCCAAATCAAAAAATTTATTAAAAAGAAAGAAAAAAAATTATTAATTATTTTTATAGAAATTTTATTATATTTTATTTAAAAATATAAAAATTATTTACGCGGTTAATTCATATGACACTTTGTATTTGCTAACGAAATCCTATATTTTTGCCCATGCATAAACTTGGTCGATTCAAAGAAGCCCAAACAATCACAATAAAAACAGATGAAATGTTCACAGATTGACAACAATACACGAAAAGACGATCATCATGCGTCAATATTATTCACAATGCAAAACAATTTGAGATCATCGGTATGAGAAAATAATTTGCCTTGATAAAGTGCCTTTGATAAAGATAATAAATAGACAAAATGAGAACTTTGAAGAATGTCCGATAATACTGTAACCTTATGAGATGATCTCTTATTTTAACAATCTTAGACATTGATGTCTAAGGAAATTGCCTAATATAGCGAAGACGTTGCGTCTAAAATCAAAATCAAATATCTACATGGTTTAATTTCCAGTTTTGTCCCCATATCTACCTTAACTCTATCCAGCACATAGGTTAGTATTAGTGATAATTTGCTTCAACGATTTACCTCGCATATTTACACGCTCTTGCATTCATACTTTTTTGTTACGTTCCTCCGTGCTTGGCTTCCTACGCAGTAGATAATAATATACAGGGTGTCCCCGCTAAAGTATGACAGTCGCGATACTTCAATAACTATCGATGATACGAAAAAATTGTGGTAATTATTTAGAAAAGGTCGGGTCTAACCGATTTCGATGATTGTTGAATCTGTTGTAGAAGTCAACATTTTGAACAACTTTTTCCTATACATATAACCGCCGCTCGGCCTTAGTTTTCGAGATTTTTCTTCAAAAATATCGCTACTACTACAATGAATTCTGTCTACATATATCGTTACGTTTAGTGTTCACGTGTTTGAATCCGTCCACACGCCTCTCCGACCATCCTCGACAATCCTTACACCGTAGAGTTAAAGTGATCGTTACGTTTTCGCTGTCCAGGTCTGGAGCTGGGTATCGGTTTGTCCGTGGATTACGCGGCTCACGTTGCACACGCGTTCGTGCACGCCGCGTCCGAGACCGGAAGCGAGGATCGCATGAAAAGAGCCCACGTGGCAGTGAGGTATATCGGCGCGGCGGTTGCATATGGCGCGGGCTCGACCTTGCTAGCGCTCTCCATGATGGCGTTCTCGGAGAGTTACGTGTTCCACGCGTTCCTGAGGATCTTCATCTTGGTGATAGTGTTCGGTCTGTGGCACGGGCTGTTCCTCCTGCCGGTTATACTGAGCACAATAGGGCCGCGGAGTCTGCGATCGTACAGCACACCGCGGCCGTCGCCTGAGAAAAACGAGGAGGAGGCGACCGACACCGTCACCAGTCCGCTGAATAAAGAAACGGAGAGTTAAGAGAACGCACGTCATTATGATTCTTTATCAATAATATTTATTTTTGGTTCAATAAACATACAAAATTATTACACTATCCGTACTATTAATCACACATTTATACAAAAATAATAATAATAATAATAAAGGTCGGATAACTTAAAAACGGCATTATTTATATATATATATTTATATTTATCTAATATATTAAGATTAAAACAAAATACAAAATAATGTAGCAAGGTTGATATAGATTTATTAATAATAATTATTGATCGGAAAGGAACATGACTATTATAAACGTAACGTAATTGTGTTGCTTGGATGCGTTATCTATGTATAATCATAATTAATGTTTACGACGTAAAAATGAGCGGCGAGGGAGCGACCCCGGATTGATTGGCAAGCTCCCTCCGCTGCCTCTCTCAGTCTTACACAGTCCACGGACATTCATGCATTCTATCATTCTCGGTCTTTTCTGTTCGTCATCCATTTATTTCCTTCTTCTTTTTTTTTTTAATTTTTTTTCCCGCTATTCGGCTCGTTTCTTCAGGATCATTGTTTCGACGGAGGATCGAGGCCACCGTCCGAGAAGAGACGAACGGACAAACGAAAAGACCTTCACGTATCCTCAAGCGTACACGGTCACTCATTGACAGAGGCGCACGATTCTCTCGAGACACACACGCACACACACACACATACACGGTAGAGTTAGACTGCCGGGGCAGCAAGCCACGCACGAACGATACGGCGATACACATCTCCTTACTTAGTCGAATTTTACAAATTGGGATCGTACATTCCATAATTAATGAGGAACCATCGATACAATAATAATATTTACTTAGCAAAACGTGCCGATCGGTAGTGTGGCGAAGGACGCGTGATGTGCGAGCACAGTTAAACGCGTTACGAAGAAGGGAGAAGGGGGCAGTTTTGATGATGACGATGACGGTGACGATGGCGATGATAATAACGATGATATCGGTGGTGGAAGGGGATGATAAGTTGGCGCAGGAGGACGTTGGCAGAAGGGGAAAAGAGAAGGCAGGTTCTCTTCGTTGTTCGAGGGTTGACAACCGACCGTGGGAGAGGGTGGGTGGGTGAAGGTCGTTGGATACTTTTGGGAGGGAGAGTTGCACATCTGCTTGCCAGGAGTTCAAGGTACACGCACTTTATAGGAATACACCATGGGAAAGACACTCAGGGCAGACACTGACATAGAGACTAGGCTACCAGACTATATGTATACCTATCTAAACGTGTAATTAGCGTACGCACCGCGTACACACGGTACGCCCGCACTCCGCCCGCCAGTCGGGTTCTTTTCGCTTTATTATTTTTCGTTTTTCCTTCATTTTATAATCGGTAAGCGCGCGTAAACGCTCCGTACACTTACTTCCATCCCTCGCTTTCCACCTGTCTTCCTCTAATCTCGCTACAACTCCTTCCCACTGCTTTGTTCAGCGTTTTCATTTCTTCCCTCTTCTCGTATCTCCTCCCCTTTTTTTCTTCTCTCTCTTCCGTTTAATTATTATTATCATCGTTTTATTACAATCAGCGATCGCGTCGTAGTCGTGCTTTTATAGTAAACGCTATGTAGTCTTTATTACTCAAGCTTATGCCCAAAAATCTACCAGAGGCACTTTGGGTTTATTAGTACCATTTGAAGTCGGCGTGCGCGGGGGAGGGCGCTACGAATCCCTTACTGTATTTTTCTGTCTTTTTATTCTTTTTATTTAATTAGTATTTTTGTTTCTTTTATGCGATACAACGGTCGAACGACGTGAAATTCATCCCGTTATGTTATTTTACCTGTTCCCCATCGATCCGCCGACGTACCCTGTCTGTGTGATCCATTTCCTCTTTCACGCGCGTTCGCCGCCATGTTCCCCGTATCCCTACCGTTCTCCCTCCCCCGTTCCTTTCCCGTAGCCTACCAACTCCGTATCTTTTTCCCGCTGCCTTACCTTTCCACACACGGTCTTCCGATGTTTTTTGAGCAATAAATACTTTCTCCACTGACAACTGCACATTGAATTGACGCACGGGACACACACACACACACACACACGCGCACGCGCATGCATACGCAAACGATTCTCATTCGCTGCCAGCCGCTCGCGTCGACAGGACCCTCGAAGGTCGCCCGTGGCACGCGCCGCGGAGCTCCTTCGCCGATATGAATTCTCCTCACGATAGCCTCGATCGTCGTAACCCCATCCTACGCGTCAGCTAAACGTCTCCAACGTGGCGAGGACCCCTCGTTGGGCTTCGATGTGCGTTGCAGAATTGGCTAGTTTAAACGTACAATGAACCATAGAAAAGAACAACGTGCCGATGGATTATCGAAATTGACGATGTCCGTGTTTCTTTTTTTTTTTTTGTTTTTGATCCCCTTGATAAGATACAATGGCGAACGACGTTTCCAGGGCAAAAAGTATTAATTCGGGTACTGTCGATCCACGAACGGCTCCCGACCACTCTTGTCTGCATCAGTGCTTAAACGTTCCACCCACACCAATATGGCTACATCCACAAAGTTTAATGTTACGCTTTTTAATTAATGATTATCAATTCATATCAATTCAATATCAATGTATTACAATCAGACAATACTCAACAGTGATCGTTATTCATTATATATTACAATAATTAAGAGTGACAACAACATGACGACGGAGGCGTTGAAGCATTACAAGGGAGAGAGTGGCACAACGTGTGATTCTTAGGATGAATGAGAAAGAGTAGAAGGAGGCGCCGTCGATAGTGGACATTTTTGCTACATGTAATACGTAGAGAGATAATGACACGAGGACAAAGGGTCAAGGGATATCGGGGCGGGGGTATTTTTGATGATTATGAAATAGCGACAATGATAGATGACCATCAGCGATGGACGCACGACGATGAGAACGAACGATTAATGGTAAAATGGAACAATGAGCTGGAGACCAAAGAGGGGAAGCACGCACACTCAACACAACCGTCACATCGAGCTGGCCTCGCGCGCGGCCATAGTCTATAGATTAATACCTATCAACTAATACACAGTCTGTCTCCGATTCGCGGATGACTCCTTCCTTTTCTCTTCCGTTTTGAATGCATGTAAGTATAAATAATACGCGCAATGCACGCGCACATACAGTACGACGAACACCGCTCGATCGACCGACGGTGGGCGAGGCCCAGCGTTCACAAACGGACGAGGATTTCGTCGTTGGCGTCGTTTCTGTGCAACAGATCGTCGAAACGTCGAAATCCCGGTCGTCCGTGGGCGATACTGTACGCGCGCTCGTTCTCGGATACTGCATATACATACACACATACTTTTGCGCCGGTATAAAGTGTATATATGTACACATATACATACGACATACCATCCAATGTATATATAATATACCCATATTATTGAATTAATCATCGTTTAATCGTTAATTATCTTATTTATTAAAATTCGTCAGTTCGTAATTCAAAAAATTTCAGCTAGTAGCGGTGGATGGAAATGTTTCTTCGTTAAAAATCGCCGATCCCCGATGATAGCGCGCGGGCATTATCGATCGTTTTCTGTTTTCTTTTCTTTTTTTTTTGTCATTTTTTTTTTCCTTTCTTTACCTTTTAAACACATTTACAAATATATCAGGATCGATCGGTCGATTCGTTCACTCACTTATATCACTAATGTCTATTATTTTTCGTTTCGTTTAAAACCCTAATCCGTGAGGATCGCGGCGTGATCGCGGCCACGATTTGAGCCCCGCGGTTTCCGTTAAATCCTTATCGGTTATCGTTTTGCGTGTTCTGGCTGCCGGCCGGTGTGAGCGCGCATCAATAATTCTATTACAATTAATCGTGATTTTGGTATCTTATGTACAGTTATGCGTGGGGCATGCGTTGTGATTGCCGCCGCACACCTGCCCGCCAGCGACCGTTCCAGAAGACTCTTGTCGCACGTACCTCAAAGAAAAGGAATTAAAAAAAAAAAAATAAAATAAGACGAAATAAAACACACAGTCCCCTCGATTGAAACTCTTCCTCATTAACTTCAATAGCGGTCCGTTGTGCAGTGTTTTCTTCTTGTGTATAATTCGCGTACTAAGCTGAGATAACTGGCTTGCACGAAAACCTGAGACGATCGATTACAAGATAGGCCAGTCCTCTTGGTGCTTCCTTGAGAATACCTAACTCCGGTCGAGTATTCAGCAGGGTAACTCTTGGCGGGCGGGCTTTGTCATATGCTTCATAGAGTTCATGGTACATCAGGGGTTATCCGCCGCCATGATGTTGTGCACTTGCTCGAGCTTGTATGCCAATCTCTGCTTCTGTGAGAACTCGTCCTCCTCGAGGGTAACTATCAGCTGTTCGTTGTATTTACCCGCATACGTGTACAATTCGTAGAGGGCGCAGTTTGTGTTGAACTCCGTCGTGTGTAACTGTAGAAAAATAAACAATTGGTTTATAGATATGTTCGTATTACACGTTCGAAGGGTATGAACTTAGGAGTAGATATACGAACCCTAGACTCTTCGGCAAGCATGGCGTTCATGTCTTGATCAGATATGGCTGGCATGACTTTGATATCTGAGTAGTAACGTTCTACCCACTCTTTGTACACTGGAATGTCCTTTGCGTAAAGTAGCTTAGAACTCGGGGAGTCCTTACCTGAAACATCAAACGGTTATGGTATTGTTAAAGCGTTCCAGTCAAATTTTAAACGAATAAATTATTGTTTAAGTGTTAGTAAACTAGAAATCAATAGTTTTGAGTTGCAAAGAAATTTTGATGCATTAAGTTCGAAAATATTAGAAAATTCTAAGTTTTCCCCGTATTTTCCAATAGAAAAAGTTCAATTAGGGTTTTAATTACACGACAGTCGGTTATTGGAAGCTTTAATAGTAGTGGGGGTAATTCCATTGCATATATCCCTAACACAGACTGTTGCATGAAACGAGGCAATACTGTAATACAGTTACCAAAAAGTATACATCAATTTATAGAACTGCATTACACTTTTAATTTACAGTTTTTTAAGAAAGTGAAAATACTATGACAGAATAAAATTTTGTTTTATAATTGATAAAACTGTTGATTTCTAGACTGATTTCTAATTAACCCTTTTTTGCTTATTTTCATAAATACTCTATACAGGGCGTTTACTATATACTACTATAAAGGCCAAAATAAGACGAAAATCAAGGATACTAATTTGTTGATTGAGGCTTCGTTAAAAAGTTATAGAAACATTTTCGGCCACACGGTATATTTTTTTTTGGTAAAGAATTTTTTTCTCGTAAGTACGTAGGAATTCGGGGGTATGTGTGTTCACCAAAAATGATTGTAATTGGCCTCCACAACAGAAAATAATTTTTCCAAAACGATTTGAATCTTTTTAATTTTGTCGAAAAATTTGTCCACCTTCCTGAATTTTTTTCTCAAAAGTGGGTAGGATTTCGAGGGAATGTCTAATGACCAAAAATGATTGTAATTGACCTCCGCAACAGAAAATAATTTTTCCAAAACGATTTGAAATTTTTTAATTTTATCGAAATATTTCCAATGTTCTCGAATTTTTTTCTCGAAAGTGGGTAGGATTTCGAGAGAATGTCTAATGACCAAAAATGATTGTAATTGACCTCCGCAACAGAAAATAGTATTTCCAAAACGATTTGAACCTTTTTAATTTTGTCGAAAAATTTCCAATGTTCTCGAATTTTTTTCTCGAAAGTGGGTAGGATTTCGAGGGAATGTCTAATGCCCAAAAATGATTGTAATTGACCTCCGCAACAGAAAATAGTTTTTCCAAAACGATTTGAACCTTTTTAATTTTGTCGAAAAATTTCCAATGTTCTCGAATTTTTTTCTCGAAAGTGGGTAGGATTTTGAGGGAATGTCTAATGACCAAAAATGATTGTAATAGACCCCCGCAACAGAAAATAATTTTTCCAAAACGATTTGAACCTTTTTAATTTTGTCGAAAAATTTCCAATGTTCTCGAATTTTTTTCTCGAAAGTGGGTAGGATTTCGAGGGAATGTCTAATGCCCAAAAATGATTGTAATTGACCTCCGCAACAGAAAATAGTTTTTCCAAAACGATTTGAACCTTTTTAATTTTGTCGAAAAATTTCCAATGTTCTCGAATTTTTTTCTCGAAAGTGAGTAGGATTTTGAGGGAATGTCTAATGACCAAAAATGATTGTAATAGACCCCCGCAACAGAAAATAATTTTTCCAAAACGATTTGAACCTTTTTAATTTTGTCGAAAAATTTCCAATGTTCTCGAATTTTTTTCTCGAAAGTGGGTAGGATTTTGAGGGAATGTCTAATGACCAAAAATGATTGTAATAGACCCCCGCAACAGAAAATAATTTTTCCAAAACGATTTGAACCTTTTTAATTTTGTCGAAAAATTTCCAATGTTCTCGAATTTTTTTTCTCGAAAGTGGGTAGGATTTTGAGGGAATGTCTAATGACCAAAAATGATTGTAATAGACCCCCGCAACAGAAAATAATTTTTCCAAAACGATTTGAACCTTTTTAATTTTGTCGAAAAATTTCCAATGTTCTCGAATTTTTTTCTCGAAAGTGGGTAGGATTTTGAGGGAATGTCTAATGACCAAAAATGATTGTAATAGACCCCCGCAACAGAAAATAATTTTTCCAAAACGATTTGAACCTTTTTAATTTTGTCGAAAAATTTCCAATGTTCTCGAATTTTTTTCTCGAAAGTGGGTAGGATTTTGAGGGAATGTCTAATGACCAAAAATGATTGTAATAGACCCCCGCAACAGAAAATAATTTTTCCAAAACGATTTGAACCTTTTTAATTTTGTCGAAAAATTTCCAATGTTCTCGAATTTTTTTCTCGAAAGTGGGTAGGATTTTGAGGGAATGTCTAATGACCAAAAATGATTGTAATAGACCCCCGCAACAGAAAATAATTTTTCCAAAACGATTTGAACCTTTTTAATTTTGTCGAAAAATTTCCAATGTTCTCGAATTTTTTTCTCGAAAGTGGGTAGGATTTCGAGGGTATATCTAATCACCAATAATGATTGTAATTGACCCCCGCAACAGAAAATAATTTTTCCAAAACGATTTGAACCTTTTTAATTTTGTCGAAAAATTTCCAATGTTCTCGAATTTTTTTCTCGAAAGTGGGTAGGATTTTGAGGGAATGTCTAATGACCAAAAATGATTGTAATAGACCCCCGCAACAGAAAATAATTTTTCCAAAACGATTTGAACCTTTTTAATTTTGTCGAAAAATTTCCAATGTTCTCGAATTTTTTTCTCGAAAGTGGGTAGGATTTTGAGGGAATGTCTAATGACCAAAAATGATTGTAATAGACCCCCGCAACAGAAAATAATTTTTCCAAAACGATTTGAACCTTTTTAATTTTGTCGAAAAATTTCCAATGTTCTCGAATTTTTTTCTCGAAAGTGGGTAGGATTTCGAGGGTATATCTAATCACCAATAATGATTGTAATTGACCCCTGCAACCGAAAATAATTTTTTTAGAACGATTTGAAATTTTCTTTTTTTGTCGAAAAATTTAACCACCCCCCTGTCGATTTTTCTTAAAAATTCGTTTTTGATTTTGAGTAATTTTGTTTGATGCCCTATAAAGCAGTTGAAATATATTTACTATTGTAGGAGTTATGGCAGTTTGAACATTGGACCATTTTTATGTGGTTTTTTTAACTTTACGGGGTCAAGGAACAACTTTTTCAATATTGTTAGAATTTCTACATATTCTTCACCAAAATACGCGTAGTTTGCCATTTGAAACATTAAAATCCTCCAATCCGTTCCGAAGTTTTGACGTTTTAAAGATACGCAAGAAATTTTCGAGTAACATTTCTGGCCAGAAATTATATTTTCGGTAATGAATTTTTTTCGCGAAAATGCGTAGGATTCCGTGATTATGTGTAATGACAAAAACTAATTGTAATCGACCCCTGCAACCGAAAATAATTTTTCCAGAACGATTTGAAATTTTTTAATAACTTTTTAACGAAGCCTCAATCAATAAATTGATATTCATGATTTTCGTCTTATTTTGGGCTCTAGAATTTTCATTTAAAACTTTTCCCAGGGATGGCCGTACACCCTGTATACTTATAAGTGTCGATTTATCAATTTTTGCATACCTTGTTTAACTCACTTAAAATTTCGATAATTGCCAGGAAGATCATTTTGAACAACTTTTTCGTATACATTGCAAAAATATTTTTGATACTACACAGTAGGTCACCAGTTAGTACCATCTTGATTCCCATCACTATTATAACACGTAGAGAAATATATTTCATATGAAGTTAAATAGTTTCCAGAGGGGCACATCCTGATGCTATTAGTTTGTTGTAAGTGTACACGTAGAGGACAAATGAAAGTCATTACTGTCTTTTTTAACAGGATAGTACATTCTTCATCACATCAGTCGATGCATTTTTATATTGTCTTTTTAAACCTTAAGATAGGCTTGGATCAAGCTTCAATTAAATTTTTATTACACAACCAATATTATCACTAGTTTACTAGTTAGTGATTGGTTGTAAGTGTTTATCATTCGAATTATGAACATATACTATTTACTATGATCTGTTGTAAATTACTCAACAGGTTGTCCTTGAGAACATATGTCAAAGTCGATTTCACCAACTTCATCAACTTCTTCTATAATAAATAATTACCAGTTTTTTGCATATATCTCGGACACATGAAGTCTTATGGCATATTACATGTATAGGAAACAGTTGTTCAGAATGAAGCCCTCAATTATTATTAACGATTTGAACTTTTTTAATTTTGTCGAAAAATTTGTCCACCTTCCTGAATTTTATTCTCAAAAGTGCGAAGGATTACATATTTCAAAATCCTTAAACCCATTTTTAAAATAATTACCAGAGAATTTCATACCAAGTTTATCGTTATGATATTTATATAAGCAGATTTGTTATATTTCAATGAACACTCACCTAATCTATGATCCGAAGTGGAACAGCTGTCCATGAACGTCTGCGCCACCACGGAGAGACACGAGTCGACGATGTTGGACTTGTGTATATCGAAAATGAAATTCGGATTCTTAATAAGATTAACCCAAAACCTAAGCGGAAGGGAGTTGCTCTTCCATGTGTGGACCACTTCGGGATCAGATATGCCGTGTTGCAGAGCTTGGTCGTCCATGAAATCGAACATGTATTTGATCGCAAGAGGCAGGGCCGAGCCTCGATGGGCAGTGCTGAAGATCGTTTCGAACAGATCGTCGACGAATTTCTGGAGCGTACCCTTCGTTGCCAGTAACCTCGTCAGATAGATCTCCGACACCATCTTGTTGCCGCGATCACCCTCCTTTCGCGCGTCGGAGTCGTGGTGTTTGACGAGGTGCCAACACTTTAGGCCGCCATCGTGGTTTTGATTCAACGGCGACGTGGCGCGCGACAACGGGGGACTGGCCGAACTGAATTTGCTAAGGTTCAGGGTCTCGTATTTGTGCGATTTGTCCGTCTTCTCCGAAAGGATCGACAAATTGTAAATCGACGACTGCTTCGAAACTAAATTGAGCGACGCTCCGTCCGGTACCCTGTAGTGATTTAAAGTGTTTCGCTTCTTCCATTCGCCCTCCGTCTTTGTTGTCGAGTCTTCGTCGTAGAGGATCAATCTTCCTGACGCCCCGGTTCGCCACTCTGTCGTAACAAAGAATTTATCACACACTTTTCGATACAACTACATTCCTTAAAATTTATTTCCTTCCATTCAAATTTCTTACGATCTATTAAAATTTATCTCGTCTTATTCTTTGGTATTACGAGTTATTTACATCTCTAACAATTTATTAAAATATATTTGAAATTTTCAGTGTTTTATCAAAATTTGTTTATTTTCATTCAAACTTACAAATATTGTAATAATTCAGTAAGGTTTATTTTAATTCAAATTCTTGTCAATAATTAAAATTTTGAATTATGATTTCGATAAGAATTTCCTTTTATCAATGTCAAGCACAGACATTTTTTAAATTATGTATTTTAAATCAAATTCATAAATTGTTACAAAATATTATACAAGTTTTGAATTATGATTTCGATAAGAATTTCTTTTTATCAATGTCAAGCACAGACATTTTTTAAATTATGTATTTTAATTCAAATTCATAAATTGTTACAAAATATTATACAAGTTTTGAATTATGATTTCGATAAGAATTTCTTTTTATCAATGTCAAGCACAGACATTTGTTAAATTATGTATTTTAATTCAAATTCATAAATTGTTACAAAATATTATACAAGTTTTGAATTATGATTTCGATAAGAATTTTTTTTTATCAATGTCAAGCACAGACATTTTTTAAATTATGTATTTTACTTCAAATTCATAAATTGTTACAAAATATTATACAAGTTTTGAATTATGATTTCGATAAGAATTTCTTTTTATCAATGTCAAGCACAGACATTTTTTAAATTATGTATTTTACTTCAAATTCATAAATTGTTACAAAATATTATACTAGTTTTGAATTATGATTTCGATAAGAATTTCTTTTTATCAATGTCAAGCACAGACATTTTTTAAATTATGTATTTTAATTGAAATTCATAAATTGTTACGAAATATTATAGAAGTTTTGAATTATGATTTCGATAAGAATTTCTTTTTATCAATGTCAAGCACAGACATTTTTTAAATTATGTATTTTAATTCAAATTCATAAATTGTTACAAAATATTATACAAGTTTTGAATTATGATTTCGATAAGAATTTCTTTTTATCAATGTCAAGCACAGACATTTTTTAAATTATGTATTTTAATTCAAATTCATAAATTGTTACAAAATATTATACTAGTTTTGAATTATGATTTCGATAAGAATTTCTTTTTATCAATGTCAAGCACAGACATTTTTTAAACATTTCCAGCTAAATTTAGTCTCTCTTTGGTAAAATTGATAGCCCCAAAAAGACATAATATAAAAATAAAGCAGTGCAAGACGATTCAGTTATTTAAAAATATAAATTAGTGATGCAGTGTATTTCTTGTTACAAGAAAATTTTTTTTAACTTCATTTTATAGTATGCCACTCACTTAAACGTGTCCAATATAGACAATTAAACGATTTGTATGTTTTGGAAATAATAAGTAATATGCTTGAAATTAAATTGCTACATCATTGTGTTTTATCTGGGATCTGTTAGTTAAAGCTACCAGTAAGACTTATCTGTTAGATCCTGTTTCAGACGGGACAATTAATCCCTAGAATAGTCTCCAGTGAATAGGTAGATTATTAGTAGATAATTAGATTGAATTGTTGAAACGATTAATGGGGTCGTGTTTGAGACACAATCTGGTAGTTAGGCCCTATTATTGATGAGTTGGTGCAAGATAAAACACTGTAATATTGATTTTTGTAATAACAATACTACTTATTATCGAAAAAAGCTTTTCTTAATCTCTGAGGGGACCTGAATTTATATTTTTATTCAGTTGGTTCTTCCTTCACTGCACACTCTTATTTTTATATTTACAAATTACCAATTTTGTTAAGAAGAGTCCAATTTTTGGACCTAAACGTTTAAATTATGAATTATCGAATCAAATATTACTGCCATCTATATTTTCAAATCTGTGAATGTGTCTTTTAGTTAATTTCAATTAATACATCGAATCTAGTTCCTTTTTGTTCAATTGTGTTAATGGTGGTAGCATATATTTTGACACATACTTAACACATTACCGACCGATAGCCTATTAATCGACTTTTTTTACCGGCCAACACTTACCGACCGATAGCGTATTAATCAACTTCTTTACCGACCAACGCTTACCGACCGATAGCCGATTAATCAACCGCTACCGGTCGGTAAAGTGTTAAAAGTTTTACGATGAATTAGTATTTTTACAATACGCTCATAAGTGTTACTATAAATGTGATATACACTCGAAAAAACTAGAATATAACATCCTTGAAATATTTTATGTGGGTATGTTGACCAAAGACAAGAAAAAAAGAAACTTTGAAATGTAAAGTATCATACATATTTGCAACAAAAATAATACTGAAAAATTTATAGACGTTTCTAGAATGTTAAAATGCTATGAAAAATGATTACTTGGTATCCTGTGATTTTTTAGTGCCTTGGAAATGTGAGTCGAACTATGCTTGTGTTTATGGTTCGTTTCTAGGGAATTTTTTTTTTGAGGTTTCTAAATCTTACCAAGATCGAGGTCATCCTTCCTGGGCCTCTGGCTGTATGGCGTGGCTCTGTAGATGGTGTCCAGAGCCTTCTCCTTCACTTGAGATATCGTGTCGCAATCCAGGACCTTAACCGGCACATTTTCCGTATTCGGATCCATGCCCCCCACGAACACCGTTTGTTGCGATATTGACACGTACACCGTCTGCAAGATGAACATCGAATTGCAAAATTCGTTTCGAAGGTGCAGATGCACAGGAATTGTTCGTTCCACGAGAATGTTCTGTCGGTTTCTACGCATGCGATGCTCGAGATGCTTATAAAGAATGGGAAAACTCGTTGATCGAAGGTTTCCTCTGATAATTTATTCCACGCAGCTTGAAATATAAAGTAGCATGATTTCTTAGCCTGCTAAATCAGCTACTTAGCCTGCAGAAATGCTCCCTTCATGCTAAAATTCATTGAAGGATGTTCGCGACTTCTATATAAGCGAAAGTTTGTTCTAGTTCCTTCTTCTTGTGCGTAATATCGAAGCGTAAGAAAGTATATGTTAATCTGCTCTAGAAGTTAAGCTATCATTACATTATTATACTTTTTTATTATATTATGTTCAACAGTTATTTTACTTTTATGTTATTATTATTATCCAATAAAATACTTTCATTTAACATTGATTAATAAATCACAAATATTTCACAAAATGACAAATATTTGCTTTTTTCTTCAAACATAGACACTATTTTCTGAATTCGTTTATTTAACTTGTTCAAGTAACTTCTCAAAATTGACCATAAAAATAAGTAAAAATGGAAGAAAAATACAAAAAATGGCGGTAATTCATTTCTTTATCGATCATCGAATTAAATCAAACAAAATTATATAAATATTTAATAATTAGTACGAGAGTTTTGTTCTAAACATTTATTCTTAAAACAGGCTTTCTCCAAATAATATTTCTTATATTCAACGAGAGAAATATTAAATAAAAAATAATTTAATCTTGAACGAATTGCAATAAATACGACAAAAATGTTTTGTCTAATATAAATTCTTTTCTTTTTCCAAAATGGGGGATGTTTCCCAAAATGTTTGGAAATTACTGCTACAACGAGCGAATAAGAAATCGACAGAACTTTCCCACGGGCTTAAGGGGTCTGGTAACTCTAGAATATTGAAAAATTCGATTTTTTTTTTTTTGGCTTAAATAATAGTTTGAAGCCTTAAAAACATTATGCGAAAGGTCTCAGTGTCGGAACAATGTTTTTGCTGAAAATTTAGAGCCTCAAACGATGACGTGTATCTGCGTCCTGTAGCTCGTTAAATGCATTTTCCTCGTAACTATGTTTTACAAAACGGTGTGCAGCATTACCCCAGTTCTAATTAATCAATTGCTTTGAAAATTTACAGTTATCTTTACTATTATATTTATTAGGCATTGACGATCCGTTTTTTTCAATATTGTCAAATAATTCTGCAAAATATTCGTAATAAGAACTCGTTTTTGTGTTAAAATTCGATTTTAAGTTTCAAATATCTGCCACATTGTTCATTTTTATATAAATTGAAATGTCTCATCGTCAATGCCTAGGACATTTATCATAGTTAATGGAATATTTCGGTTTTTGTTGTACATAACAACCATTTTACCACAATCCTGCACACCAGCTGGGCATCAAAACAAGAAGTGGCTCGGGAACATGGCGCTGTGTAGGCTTAATCATAAATATTTTTTAAACATTGCCAAGGGTTTTTTTCAACATTTGTTATACCTAAATACAGTGCAGAGTTTCAGGATAATTGAATGCTTACTTTATCTTCAGTATTGCTTAAAAAAATGCCTCGTTTTCCATACCGCTAGAGGTACCAGACCCCTTAAAACACACTATGTCTTAGAATGAGCGTTCTTACCATAGGCTTGAAGTCGATGGACTGTCTGATCAGTTTCTCCTCCGACAAGGAGTACCGTGCTTCAGACGTGATGGCGTCAACGGGACCCTTATCAACCTGTTGTTTCACCGCGCGAAACAACACGTATAATGGTTCTCCGGCGCATTCTCGCATGAATTTGTACAAAAGGAAGGTGAACCAGGCTGACAACATCTTTTCAGCGACACTTTCCGTTCTGAAATGCGTTTCGAGCAATTAATTTTCGTGGACAAATATTGCAAAAAAAAAGGAAGACCAGTCGTGGTTGAAGCTACCTTTGAATACAAAATAACCAATTTCTTAAAATAAATTCAATCGATCTCTGTCTTTCGTGAAAATTAATAAAACTTTGATAAAAGAATGCATTATAAATGCATAGTTTGGCATTAATAGAATACTATGGTTCCTAAAAGAAATGTTGGAGTGAAGAACATCTAAAATAATATTTTTGTTGCACAATATACAGTAAAACAACATCTTTTCAGCGACACTTTCCGTTCTGAAATGTGTTTCGAGCAATTAATTTTCGTGGGCAAATATTGCAAAAAGAAAAGGAAGACCAGTCGTGGTTGAGGCTACATTTCAATACAAAATAACCAATTTCTTAAAATAGATTCAATCGATCTCTGTCTTTCGTGAAAATTAATAAAACTTTGATAAAAGAAATCATTATAAATGCATAGTTTGGCATTAATGGAATACGATGGTTCCTAAAAGAAACGTTGGAGTGAAGAACATCTAAAATAATATTTTTGTTGCACAATATACAGTAAAACAACATCTTTTCAGCGACACCTTCCGTTCTGAAATGTGTTTCGAGCAATGAATTTTCGTGGGCAAGTATTGCAAAAAGAAAAGGAAGACCAGTCGTGGTTGAGGCTACATTTGAATACAAAATAACCAATTTCTTAACACATTACCGACCGATAGCCTGTTAATCGACTGTTTTACCGACCAACGCTTACCGGCGGAGAGCCTATCAATCAACTGTTTTACCGGCCAACGCTTACCGACCGATAGCCGATTTATCAACCGTTACCGGTCGGTAAAGTGTTAAAATAAATTCAATTGATCTCTGTCTTTCGTGAAAATTAATAAAACTTTGATAAAAGAAAGCATTATAAATGCATAGTTTGGCATTAATGGAATACTATGGTTCCTAAAAGAAACGTTGGAGTGAAGAACATCTAAAATAATATTTTTGTTGCACAATATACGGTAAATATTCGATATATGCCTGAACTGATCTATTCAGTATAAACATCCGGTGTTCATCCCCACCACTGAGGGGAAATTGTCCTTTTCAATGTTCGATAGTCGACTGTGTGATCTTTATAATTAGAATCGATCTATCTACTCCATAAACGCTTGGTTTGGAATCCCAATTTTCGTGCATGTATCCAACTTTTATTATATCACATTTGCGATGAAACATGGAAGTCGTGAATTCGTAGAATATTTGTTATTAAATTAAAATTGCAATACAGATGTTTAAATTTAATTCTGTCAAATAATAAATGATATTCACCACTGTCCACTTAGATGCTAAAAAGAATTCTTCGAGACGTGGAATATTTAATTATTTTGCAGCGTGCTACGCCAATGGTCATCAACCTATGCCCCCTGAGTCAAGCAGTGACCCACGATGCTGTAAGAACTGACCCATGAACTGTTCAACGGTACAAGAATCTCTAATCTAATCTGAATCTATCGCGTTTGCTTCGTTGTCGGCGTTAGGATCGAGCTACAAACGTCAGCACAGATTTTCACAATTGAAATATCTCATTACTGATTTCAAGCTTCTTAAGAGAAGGGGGAGGTACGGTCAAACATAAAATTGGAAAATTTTAATTTAAATTTGTATGAAAATATCGAAGATATGTCTTCTTACATTTGCTAATTTTGTATAGTTTTATAGGTTGTAGCTATAGTCATGTAAGTTAAAATGGATGACCAGGGCGCAGTTTTGAAAACTAAGGATATTGTATAATGTGTAGTTTTAACTTTCGTAATTATTTTCTCATTTTAATTTACGAACACATTAAAAGCTAATTTTTCAGAGAATTAAATTAAAAAAGAATAATTGAAAAATATTAATTATATTGCATTATAATACCTAACATTTTTATTATTGTCCAATTGTAATTTGAAAATTATAAATTACAACAAAATGACTGCTATTTAAAATTAAAAATTTCATTTTTACCATGTTTCTTGTTCTTTTGTTTACTATAATATGAAAATAAATAGTATGCCCAAAAATGTATTATTCTCATTTATATACACTTTGAGAAATATTAACACTTTACCGACCGATAGCCTATTAATCGACTGTTTTACCGGCCGACGTTTACCGACCGATAGCCGATTAATCAACCGCTACCGGTCGGTAAAGTGTTAAATAGTTTACGTGTTATAAAATTCGAAAAATGCTTCAACTTTTCAGTATTTAGACTCGTATACTACCCTAAACAATTATTGTTTCCTTATTATGCACAAATGTAACACAAAAACTTTTCTTTCCTATCATTTATGAAAAAGGTCATTTTTAAACAAAGTTTCTCTCTGATCAAAGTTTAAGTTATTCTCAAGTAGAAAAAAACATTTGCACAGAGTTTAAACAAAATCCATTCCCCACCTATAGGTCAAGATAGATATTGAAACTCACCGTCTGAGGAACAATTTCGGATGACTTTTCCCTTCTGTGCACTTCTCTATCAGCTCCGCGAGAAGCGTCTTGAGGATATCCGTGCAATACTCCATCTTGCTTTGAAGCGTGACCATGATGAGACTGGCTACGTTGACCCTGTCCCTCATCGAGAAGTATCGATTACTCTCCAGGGTCCGTACGAACAGAAGCAGAAAAGTTTTGTTCATTATTAGTTGGCCGAACAGACGCAGGCCTTTCTCCTTGCGCACCAGTTCCGGTCGGTCCCATTGTAACACCGGGCTATTGTCGTCGCTGGGGAACAATATCATCATTGCGTAAGTGCGATAATCGAGGAACGGTATGCCGCCGCTGGTCAGATCACCGGTTAAGTCGGTCATTTCTGTTTGCAGCTCGGCGAAAGCCTCTTTGCACTCAGCGGCGACGCGTAGCTCCAGAATGTCCATTTGCTCTTGCATGTTCTTCAATACGCGATTGCTCTCGGTGGATTTGCGACGATAAGCGATGAGGAAGGCGATGAACACGAATACCAGGATAACGATGGCGGCGATCACGCCGATTAGGGCTGGTTTCGACGGTCCGTTGAGACCAGCCGGCAGTTCGTAGCTTAATTTCCCTATATTATAACGAAGCGTGCCACCGACGATCACTATGACGTCGGGTAATTCCTGCTTGTTGGGCAGACCCTCCGAGTCAATAGCGGGCGGCTGTGTGAGAGGTGGTCTGCAGGTGAGCTGCTGTCTCGAGAGCGAAGTGACGTTGCAGAACGCGTTTCCTATCTGCACGGTGACGTCGGACTCCTGACAGGCGCGATCGATGTGCAGCCCGTTGATGGTCAAATACTCGCTCTTGTAGTATTTGATTTCCTCGCCGAATTGTTCGTAGATCGGATTCGGGTAGAGCAAGAAGCTATTGAACCCGCTCTGCGAGAGATTCTGCACGCCCGTTACGTTGTCCATGCGGAATCCGTACTCCAACGGTAACGGTTTCTCACCGTCCAACACTACGTCGTCGGGGACCTCGATGGTCGGCGACTTGCAGACCATGGTCTCTTGGCTGTGCACCTTGCACTGAGAAACGAACATCTTCTTGTCGTAGTACACGTACATCTGTGGCCTCTGTATACAGTCGAGGTTCTTCCCCGTCACCAACATTTTTATGCCGCCCGCCGGTATGCCTTTGGGGATCTTCATCTGGCTCGCCACGCCGCTCTCCACGCTCTCGATCGTCGGATCGTCCACGTACTTGAAATACCCGTCGTAGATCCGGAACGCACCGTCGAACGTCATCTTCACCTGGCCGTTCCTCTTCCGGTCGCTGGCGCTGGTCACGCAGAGGGTGTAGTTCGTATCCGCGTTGATGATGGAGCACGGTAGCTCGTCGATAAAGGCCTCGATGGTGCTGCCGGCGTTCATATATTTCCCGGTGATGCTTATGGTCGTACCGCCGCTCACCGGACCGTACTCCGGAGATATGGAGAGTATCTTCGGGTCCACGAACTCGAAGTTGTACTCGGACTGACCTCTGAAGTCCTCGATCTCCACGATCACCGGACCACGTTTGCCCTCGATCGTGCCTGGCCCGTCCACGCGGCAGACGATCTGCTTCGTTCGCATGTACAGTTCCTCGTAAGGCAGGCATCGCATCCCTCCGACCATAACGCCCTTGTAGATGTCCTGAAATTATCAGATTTTTATATTTTCCATGGTATATATGGCTAATTTAAAAAATGAACACTATTATTCTACACTCTTGTAAAATTGACCTTGGACAGTTCTCTCAAGGTCAAATTTGTATATAATCGCTACGTATTCTACCGACCACACGGAACAAAGTTGAAAAAGGAACTTGAGAGAATGCTTGATTTGTTGACCTTGAAAAAATTAGTCAAGGTCAACTTTTTTTTTTCAACAGTTTTTCATCGATCCATATAATTTTCTAACGCCCTGAATAAATGTTTATAGGACGAACATCAGAGAAATGGAAAGGTAGATGTCCTGGAATTATCAGATTTTTATACTTTCCATGGTATATATGGCTAGTTTTAAAAATGAACACTATTATTCTACACTCTTGTAAAATTGACCTTGGACAGTTCTCTCAAGGTCAAATTTGTATATAATCGCTACGTATTCTACCGATCAAACGGAACAAAGTTGAAAAAAGGAACTTGAGAGAACGCTTGATTTGTTGACCTTGAAAAAATTAGTCAAGGTCAACTTTTTTTTTTCAACAGTTTTTCATCGATCCATATAATATTCTAACGCCCTGAATAAATGTTTATAGGACGAACATCAGAGAAATGGAAAGGTAGATGTCGTGAAATTATCAGATTTTTATACTTTCCATGGTATATATGGCTAATTTAAAAAATGAACACTATTATTCTACACTCTTGTAAAATTGACCTTGGACAGTTCTCTCAAGGTCAAATTTGTATATAATCGCTACGTATTCTACCGATCACATGGAACAAAGTTGAAAAAAGGAACTTGAGAGAATGCTTGATTTGTTGACCTTGAAAAAATTAGTCAAGGTCAACTTTTTTTTTTCGAACAGTTTTTCATCGATCCATATAATTTTCTAACGCCCTGAATAAATGTTTATAGGACGAACATCAGAGAAATGGAAAGGTTCGAGGTGGTGCGTCTTACCGAGAATGTTTTACCCAGGTTGATGCCGCGTATGGTGACGTTGGTGTTACCTTCCCATGGACCCATCACAGGCTCGAACATGTGTATCTCGGGATTGGGGCAGGTTTCGTTGCTGTTGAGCCAAATGCCGGTGCCGTTGTCGCAGTGCTTCTTTACCTCGCACCTGTCCGAGCTCTGGCACCATCCGCAATTGTACTTGGTCGCGAGCGCCAGACACATCCCGCAATTGTCTGCCATGTCGCGGCACCTGTATATGACCAGGTGGATGTTGTGCGGATTGTCCAAGGGCTTCGAGCCGCCCCAGATCACCGCGAAGGGCACGGTGATGTTCGGGGCCCGTGACGTGTACGAGAACTCGTAGTCCTCGCAGTAAATCGTGTCCCCCAATAACCGAGCGTTCACGCTGGTCACTCGGCCCTCTATGTTGAACTGACAGACGAACCGGGTCTGCACGATGAATTGCTGGAAAAAAAAGTTTCACGGAGGTTAGACGTCGATCATCCCGCGAGCTGTCCGCTCGTCTGTTCCGTGACAATGATCCTCAATGAAAGGCTCGCTAACGACACGCGAGAACGTTAGGTATCGATGCTAAAGACGTTGGCGGGATTCTACGTCGGCGTTCTTACCCCGATGATGTGAACTTTGACACGGATGGACTGCTTGATGCCGGAAGACACTAGGATTTCCGCGGACTCGGTGGCATTCAAGGTGGGACAGAACGCTGGCCCGCTTCTGTAACTTGGTCCCGTTCTCTGAAAAATTCAAAGTCCTGCGTCACCAAATGGCACTTCCTGGTTGACGATGTAAACGTTCAGCGAACTATTTTGTCGCAGGTTGTTCATTTGCAAATTTTACGTCTATGTAATATCTCGAAAACGATGCATTTTTTTTAAGCTTATTCGAAGGGTGATCTTTTTAAAATGGAAATTTGTATTTTTATTTACAGATTTTTATTCTATTCAAGAATAGAACAAACTTTCAAATTTTCTGTTACAAAAATATTTTTAAGGAAATAACAAATTTGTTTACTTATGAAACTTCTTTATATTTTGGGGGATTGAATGATAGCAAATCAATAACAATTACACATGAGGAGTCAATTTCACGACAGATTGCTTATTGCTTAGCATAAAATGGAGAGCATTTTGAAAACATGTCATGTAGATAAAAGCACTGTGGTTTTTCAAAATTTCGTTTATGTTTTGGAGATGTAAGCAACTATTGTGATTCTTTAAGTAGTAAAAAAATCAGGTGAAAAAGCGATATTGTTATTTATCAGCATTCAGTCATAAAAAAAATGAAGAAGTTTCATAAATTAACAAGTTTTTCTATTTTATAAATATCCTTGTAAGATAAAATTTGATAAAACAATATTTCATATAAAATTTCTATAAATAAAAATATAATAATAGGTTTCTATTTAAAAAACAAGGATGCCCTTCAAATGACCTTAAAATCGTGCAGCAAATAAAAAATAAATAAAATCGTTGTATTTCCCCCTCGAAACCGAGTAACTTTTGTATTTTACATTTTTAGATTTAAAGTTTTCAAATGGACACCCTGTAGACATCGAACGAAACTGTTCAAATATTCAATTAATTACCAAATAACAGGAATTTGTTTTACTGTTGTTTTTACTGTTCCAAGAAACAGTTATAAAATAAAGTGTATTCATTAAAATTTTTAAGAAAAGTTGAGTAAAAATTACACTTGCTTGACCAAACTATAGTAAATTTTTACAGTATTAGGCTGTTATTTGCAAAAAAATTAAATATCATATACACGTAAAATGTTAATATTATCTGTAACTTAAGAGAAAGAAATCATAAATTAATTTGAATATTAATAAAAGTATTTTGGAAAATATTTTACCCCTAAAACAAAACTTTGTGCATACGTGTAATTAAATTCTTTTTATAGTTCGTAGAATTTCCCTGCTATTGTTAGTAAAATAATATGGTCATAAAAAAATTATAATTTGCTTTCTCCTTCACGTTTATTTCGCTTTCAATTCTTTCATAATTCTAATTTTAAAAAATTTCTAAACAAGTAAAATATCTGTTAAAAGATGTATGTATTCCTTTCGAATTTATTTTAATCGAACAAAAAATAATTGTTAAAACAAAACTGTTAAAATAGAGTTAAAGTGTAAATATAAATTATTAACTTGAAATAGAAAAGAAATGGTGTAAAAGGTAAAAGTCCACAAAAATAATTTGTGTTATTAAAGTGAACAATTAGATTCCTAGAATAACTATTTCAGAATGTTCTGCGATGATAAAGTCATAAACTGAAAGTCCACGTGTTAAATTTAAGAAAACTTGTCTAATTAATGGATTTCTAAAGTAATCATTCGGAAAATCGCTTTGAAAGTGCAAGAAGTGTCTAAGAAAATGGCGGAACTACGAAACCATCGCTTCGAGCGAGCAACAGCTAAGGTGGTCGGTAAAAATTTAAGCGTTCGCAAGAGTACTTAAAACAGTACATTTTCCATTTTTGCGCGCGAACATAAGTTAGTGAACGAGGTACTAGTTGTAGGTTAGTTGTTACTCCCCTGTAACAGCTGTTTTATGGTTTCTCGGTTTTACTAGACCTTTCACAGACTTACCGAACTATTTTCTGATTAATTACTTCGTAAACAAACCCTCGTACGAAGAAGACGTGAGTGACATATATTAATTATCTAGGCGTGTTGCACCTGCCACGTCGTTCTGAACTTTAGCTGTGTTTATTGCAACTTTCTCACCGAGTATCGATTACATAGTGTTTCTTGATTCTTTATGGTGTGCAAATGTACATATGTCAGGTAAACCATTTTCTGTTCCAGCAAGTACCAAAATTGTCATTTTTGAAAATTGTCCTACATAGAGGTATTTAAAAAAATTGTAGTTTTCAGACTCAGAAGAGCAGACTTTGCCTGCTTATCTAGTTAAACCTTTCACTAATCAATTTTTCTTGATTTTGATATGTTCCTTGCAATTAATATTAGTGTCTCAAAAAATAAAATAATTTCGAATACAGGGTGTCCCGTAAATAGTGTAAGAACCGGAAATGGGGGGTAGCTGAGACGATCATATTGAGAATGATCATATTGAATTTAGCGTTCCATCGTTTTGAAAGTAGTTCTATTCCTCTGCAATACTATACTAATTCTTTAGCAACAAAAAATCTGCACGTTTGCGTATGATGTCACGATCGTTGAATCACCTTCTTTGCAAAAAGTGCGCCATTGCTCGATAGACAGTCGAATTGAACATAGTCTGGACTAGACACTAAGTGAATTCTAGATCAAAATATAGAATTATAACTCCGTTTTCAATAATATGATAAAAGTAATGAAACTCTTCGTTCTTTACCAATAAATACTAATAAACGAAATGAACAATGGAAATGCAAACAAATATACAATATACGTATAACGATATGGATATTCTATGTAAGAAATTGAATTGAAAATACAAAACATAAGAAAAATTGTTTTAAAAAATTTGATTAACGCGCCTGACCATAACTCCTTATTTCTACTTACATTATAGTATGGTATCATCTGATTTTTTGTTGATCTTGTCATTTTTTGATTAATTAAAACCAGTTGTTTTTTTTCACTCGTTATATAAAATTTTGAATAAAAATTTTGTCCATGTTTAGTGTTTAAGGGAATATTGTATTGTTTTTTACATTTTCTTGAAAAACTGTACAGGGTGTTCGGCCACTCGCGAGAAAAATTTTAATGGGAGATTCTAGAGGCCATAATAAGTCGAAAATCAAGAATATAAATTTGTTGATGGAGGCTTCGTTAAAAAGTTATTAACAATTAAATTAAAAAGTTTCGAATCATTCTGGAAAAAATATTTTTAGTTTTGGAGGTGAATTACAATCATTTTTGGTGATTAGACACACCCCCGAAATCCTACCCATTTTCTAGAAAAAAATTCGAGAATGGGTGAAATTTGAAGTTATGAAAAAATAAAATTGAAAAATTTCAAATCGATCTAAAAAAATTATTTTCGGTTGCAGGGGTCAATTACAATTATTTTTGGTCATTACACATACCCCCGAAATCCTACCCATTTTCTAGACAAAAATTCGAGAATGGGTGAAATTTGAAGTTATGAAAAAATAAAATTGAAAAATTTCAAATCGATCTAAAAAAATTATTTTCGGTTGCAGGGGTCAATTACAATTATTTTTGGTCATTACACATACCCCCGAAATCCTACCCATTTTCTAGAAAAAAATTCGAGAATGGGTGAAATTTGAAGTTATGAAAAAATAAAATTGAAAAATTTCAAATCGATCTAAAAAAATTATTTTCGGTTGCAGGGGTCAATTACAATTATTTTTGGTCATTACACATACCCCCGAAATCCTACCCATTTTCTAGACAAAAATTCGAGAATGGGTGAAATTTGAAGTTATGAAAAAATAAAATTAAAAAATTTCAAATCGATCTAAAAAAATTATTTTCGGTTGCAGGGGTCAATTACAATTATTTTTGGTCATTACACATGCCCCCGAAATCCTACGCACTTTCGAGAAAAAAATTCCTTAACGAAAATACAATTAGGTGCCTAAATTTTTCGACGAAAAAAAAATTTGATTTCAAATAAACTAAAAAAAATAAAGGCAACGTTAGACTTAGTACTCGCTTTAAAAAAATTCACGAAAATTGTTAAATATCCACTTTTTTACACCATTGCTAAAAATGATTCCATGTAAGTATAGATATAATTGCTATAATTTGAAAATAAATGCAATTTTAAAGTAAATCCGTAACAAGTAGAACTAGCATTTCCATAGATAAAAGTAGAACAATTTTAAATCGAACTGACGAACAATTAAATTGTACAATTACTTACAGAATGTAATGTTTGCTAATACGAAAAAATAATAGTAAAAAATATTTCAACTAAAGAAGAAGTTTTATTCAATTTTAATAGAATACCCTTGTACGACGATAATTTGTCGAATCAAAATTTTTTTAGCAAAAATGTTAGCCTCAACAGCGTGACAAAATGTAAATGTATGGCTAAAATGTAGTTAAACAAATTCCAAAAAAGAATTGCAACGTTGGACGTAGCATTCGCTTCAAAGAAATTTATGAAAATTGCTAAATTTCGCAACTTTCACGAATGATTCCTTTAAGGGGGGAGTCACATGTGAATGAGAGAAAATTGAACCATTTTTCTTAATTTTTTTTAAGGAAATGTTACATCTGACGCTATGATTCTTTTTTGCAGTTTATCTAGCTATCCTTTGGGAGTACAAGATAATTTTTTTATTAATTTTTATCAACTTTTAATGTTGTTATCACGTCTGCAATAAACATGTATTTAAACACTGGCGTAGGTTATTACAGCTCTCAAGGTCGACTAAATCAAAAAAATCAAAAAGATTTTTATTTGGTAGGTTTACCAAATTGACAAAATGATGAAAGCTTAAAGTAAAAATTGCAAAATTTCGTCGTTTCTTTTGCACCTTTTTAATAAAAAATATATGATAAACTGATTATAACAATTTGATTTTGGTACGAGCGCGAACTGTTAGTGTGTGCAACAATGTGTACAAATTTCAAAGCAATCGAACGTATAGTTTCTGAGATTTTATCTACGCCAGTTAAGAAAGTAACGTTCCGAGAGAAACGCATTTAAAACTCATCAATCTCAGCTCCATATAGAATTCCTTCCAGAATATTGGCATCTAGATGACAAAAACGCTCAAATTTCAACTTTTAATAACAGCAGATGTCTTTTGACCCTGTCGTAAACCTTTCGAAACAGTAATGTCAGGACTGTACATGGAAATCACCCAAAGCAATGACTCCCGGTAATTACCGCGAGGGCTATACAAAAAATGTTCTACAATCCACCATACTTGACATCTATCTCTCGAAATTTAACACTACATTCTTAAATATATATACTTCCAACAAATGAAGTACAAAAAAATTGATATTTTTGAGGTCTCACATGAGACTCCCCCCTTAAACAAATTATCTACTCACGCTAACTCCAGTGACCAGGATATCGTTCCGACAGTTCTCAGCGGTGTCGTGGGTGCATCTGTGCCCGTCGACGCACCAATCGCAGGGGAACCTCGAGGACACGCACTGAGTGCACGAGCTGTAGGTGTTGCAGTCGAAGAAGGTGAAGTTCGTGGCGACCAGGTCCGGCCCGTTGGTCATCCTGACGGACAGTTTCGCGGTGAAGTGATGCTGTCCTTGCGAGATAGACGGCAGGAGATCGGTCCTTGGCGTGGTGCAGTTTACGCCGAACGACTTCCTCGAGGCGTTCGTGATCAAGGTCTTATCCAGGGTCGAGAAAGCGCAACGGAATTGGCCAGGAAGCGTGGGCAGATTTTCGATGACCAGCTCCAGGGTCCTGGCGGTTGTGCGTTGCAATTGATCAGGCGTGACCGTGGTGATCGTTATGCATCTACCGCTTTTGTACGAGATCCAGTACAACGGATCCTTGGCGGCGTCTTGGCAGTCGCTGCGCAGGTTGCATTTGTTCTCCAGCGAGCACCAGCCGCAATAAGGATCCTTGGCTCCCAGACAGTCCCAGCAGGTCTTGTACACCGAGCATTCTTGCACCTTGACCTTGGAGACCGTTTTGTTCGTCATGACGTACAGGTGCATCAGCTGGGAGTCGAACAGCAGATCCGCGTTCACCACCGAGCCCAGGTCGATCTCTAGCTCCCCGTACTCCTGAGCTACGGTCGAGCTCTCAACCACCACCTACGGAAGAAACATGACGCACAGATTAGATCGTCGTCCAGTCGATTGCAAAATTTTTTAGATAAAACAAAACTTGCAAAATTTTAAATAAAGTTACTGTCATCCGTCGAATATTTTTATCGGCCATGTTGAAGGCATCTCTAGATATGAAAAATTGGTTTATTAATCGTCGAAAAACGTTAGTCATTCGACGAGATTTTATAACTGATTAAACATGGCGTACGCTGGCACGATGAACACAGCTATTTGATGAGGCGTCATCTCAGTCTTTCAATTTTTGTACGCTGTTCAGTAGTTATATATATTTATTGAAACTCACTTTTGAAATATAAAAAGAAGTTTCTATTTGAATGATCAATAATTCAAGATGCATCTCATCAAACAAACAATTTTAACTTTCTTCTACTTTAACAATACAACATCGTTTGAGTTATGAAAACGTAACGTTTCTATTTATATGCTTGTTGAGAAACTCCTTTTCTAATTATGAACAATAGCCATTTCTTTCATATTGTTGCTTTTAGTTTATGCAGTTGTGATCAAATTTCTAGTATCTTTTGCTATTAAAATGTCTAATAAAGTATCGAAGTTGACTAGAACGGATTTACCGCGTAACCTAATAATTTACGACGAAGGAAAATCAGTGGCTGGGGATGAAAATTAATTTGTTGTACTTCGAGAGGCGGCGCGCGGTTACCCTACGGGCGCAAATGTAACCTGCTTCCATGTTCGATCGTCCAACTGTGAACGTTCCCCGGCTCGACCCGTCGCCAAATCGAATCAACAATTTCCTCGATTCAATCCTCCAGGAACAAACTCGAAGATCGCCAGCCTGAATCGTCGCTAACGAGGAACTCGACGCATTATTTTCTTTCGTGGGTTTCGCGCAATCCACTATGTATATGGTTTATTCATCGAAACGGCTGACCGTGGACCGATGCGCGCGGTATGAAAGAATTAAATATTCACGTCAGGTTGATGTCCAGGTTGTGGCCTCGGTCTACGCGGAGAAAGACAAATGGCGCGTCGTTCGCTTCAATATTTATTAAATATTAACCGATAATCACCGACGAGTTGACGTGCCCCATTCTGGACCATCCCTCTGCCGCTTGTACCCCCGTTGCTTCGACTTTCCCGATTCAATGGCGTATTCACGGGGGTGCTAGACGATAATTGCACCCTCGTGCAACGAATGTTCATTTTTTTTTATGTGTAGCAAGACTGGAATAAACCAAAGAGAAGGATATTTTTTTTACTGACATTTCTATCGTTACTACTGATGTTTTCGGTAGGCTTAAATATCGACATACACGAGGTTAAGTTAGTGTTTAAATTTGCAGTGTCTGGTTTACGTTTAAGCCAGTCTCGTCGACCACAGTTTGTTTTGTGAAGAGATGTGTTTAACTATTGGGCACAATGTAATCGGATTACATTTGTCATGATTCTGTAAAGCAGTTGCACTGTAATTACGGTGTAATTACATTAGTGTGGCGCACAGAAACACGACGTAACAAGAACAAAAGGGATACGTGGCCCTGGTCCTTACCACATTATTTGCCATGTTAGTTTTCCACGTGTAGAAATGTTTTCAAATTTTACTTAAATTATATTGACGAAAATAGAAATAAATTCAATGATAAATTCAATGACAGTGGCGTTACTAAAAATTTTGGAAGTATCAGTGTTTGTTCCTTTTTAAACTACCAGTAGCCGCCATGACAGTTAACGTTGCTACAATGGGTGGATCTGAAGTACAAACTTAACCGATTTTAATGATTATGAATTCCTACTAACTTAGTATAGGTTGTACCTCTGAATGGCACACCTTTTCAATCGATATAAATTTTATAAAGAATGTAAGAGAGGAAATGTGGAGTCTAAATATAAAATTGTAGTTTCGGGGATTTATTAGTTTCAGAGATGTTAGGTTACGTTTGGCTATTTTATAACGTAATAATTTTATTTTAAATGTGCACACTTAGTACTTAAACTTAACACAGAAAATTTAAAAATTGAAAACGAATTTTGTTTCAAGATGATACTGCAGTTAGTTCCAGAGGAAACGATTATTTTTGAAAAAATACTGGCTAGGAATTACGCAAATATCCTGTACATAAATTTAAATTCATTTTCAATTAAATAAACAACTTATAATCCAGTTTTAGCGCACAATCAATAGGAATTGCTGAAACTTCTTAATTGCATAGCGTGTAAAAGTAAATATCAAAATAAATGATAAAAGTAGTTATATTCATCGGATAGACAATGGAGAGCCCTTTAAAATGAAACTTGTTTCAAGTCGATAGCGTGGCTAATTGCGGAGATACGAAGGTTCGAAGCGTTTGTTTACTTTTCGTTGTTGACATTGGCGCGAGGTCATTGACCTCGCGTGTAAATAGTAAACAGTGCGTAGTAAATGTGCGCGAGAGAGAGAGGTCTGATGCATTAGGCGAAGACAGAGACAAATTAAAAAAATTACCTCTTCAGAGAAATGATGTAATTTTCCAAAATGGAAAATTAGATCGATATAAACCAAAAACCATTTGAAAGAGGAAGTGTTGCCGCTTTTAACGGTGATTCAATCATGGAGAAAATACTAATAATTTAGAAACTTCATGTAATTACAGTTTTAGTAATTTCAATAGTTAGTAGTCTGTTGTAACACGAAAAGAGACATAGCAGAGTTTTTGAAAAATTACCCCTTCATTTAAATTACGATATCTTGAAAACAGTTAGTTGATTCAATGCCAGTTAGTTTTTCAATGTTAAAATTCAATCTAATTCCAAGTCATTTTTAAATGTTTTTATTTATGTGTGCCAATACATTTGTTCAGCCATAAAATATTCAATAAATACATTTTTGTTATCGTTTTGTGAATCAATATATGTATATATATATTATTGCTTCTGTAATGTAATAAACTAAAATAGATAATACATGAATATGCCAAAAAGCTATTCCTTCAAATCAATATTTTTAGTAGTTATAAGCATTTGTACCACCACAACCATGCTGTGCCAATATTTATGTCCAGCACTGTAGCTAACATAAATTTCTAATTGAGATCAATGTACGTTAGTAAATCATGGTGTCCCCATGCAAATTTCATCCACTGTACAAGAAAAGTCGTGAAGTTAAATGGCGTTAAAATAACACTGTATGCTAGAAATTCTAAACAAAATCTTAAAAATGATCATTTGACCTTACAGTCAATTTTTACTATAAAACTAAAAATTAAATACAATTATTAATGGTTTTCACTGGACATATGAAAACTAATCATTCTTATTATTAAATAATTTTTTTTTATACCACAAGGCTATTTCATAAGAATTTCATTGTATTTCATTTTAAGTTATCTGACCAGTCGTGGTAGATATAGTGTTAACCCTCTATGGGCCGAATTTTTATTTTAAATTCAAAAAAATTGGGGGAACGAAAAATCAGTCAATTATAAATCTATATATGCAAATGAAAAAAAAATTCCTCTGTTATTTCTATGCGATTTTGTATTCATATTTTGGGTATATAATGTAATAAATCTGAAAACAGGAGAAAGCACAAGCTTTATTCTAAATGTACCGAAATCTGCCATAATAGCCCATTGTGGCCTCAAAGTTGCAAAACTGTATCATCAAAAAACAGTAACAAATTGAAAATTGAAATGCAAACAAATAAGTTGTTATTGATATACGAAACCAAAGCTATTATGTGCACTATTTTTAGTTTCGTAATCACTGACAGAAGCACAAGTAATATCAATTCGATCAAATGGTTTCGCTTATATTTACTGCGGACAGTTTGCACATCATTTACTTTGTTATTTCAGGTTAATGAGCCTAGCAACGGTCATAAATATTGATATTGGTTGTCTTGACAACGTTATACAATTAAGATTTATGCGCCATCTCATGAAAAAAGTTATAATTATTTGGTAAAATCTCGATAAATTAAAATGTGACCTGAAAGTTACACGGGCCCATAGAGGGTTAACTATGCTTCAAAGAGTCAAAGAGAATCGAACATCTCCGAACATTGCCCGTTTCCGTCGCACCCGCGTTGTTAAATTTCAGAACGCGCCACTGTCTCGATTCGAAACATTCGAATTCGTCATACCGGCAAAGGGTGAATGAGGTTGCACCGATTAATTCCGAAGCGTGGACAGATGGTAGCCAGACGGAACGCGCGTTACAAAGTAAAATTTACGTCCGTCATTTCGCGGCGTTCGCGACGCCCGTTTCCTCTCGCGTTCGCGTCGGCCAGCCGGCGTGCGTTCGGCGCATTCATTTTCTCGGACTTCACCGCAAAAGGCTCGTTCGCGGTCGCGGTTAAAGGGTCGCAAATTAAATCTCAGTCCCCGACGAGCTTTCACTCACCGACGGCGAAACGACGGGAACGATGACGGAAGGTCGCCCTCCCGCTGGAATTACGTTCGCTTGTCTAATAAAAAGGCCGAGACCCTTTCCACGGTACCGAACGGCGAATAACAGTAATCACCGGGATGATAAACTGGCCTCGCGGAACCTTTCGGTGGTTGCTCGTACGACGTTAAAAATGCAGGGCGTGTTTCGTTTATACCAACCGCCACGGTGTCTGCGTTGGCGTTTAATCTCGTTGACTGGGTTAAGACGAGTCGACTCGCGCGAAAACGCGGAAGTTTAACCCCTTCGCCGTTTAATCCGTCCGACGTACGGACAAGGCCAGAAATACCGGACTGTTTAGCTCGTATAACGTACGAGCTAGCCAGGGTTAGCGAAAAAGTCACCATTCAACTTCTTAAACCTCTTAATCTTTTTATCGGCTCCCACAAGAAGCCGAGTTATGTAGTAAATAGATACACTCTGTCCCACAAGAGTGTGTGGTTCTTAATTTTGTCACTAGACGGCGCATCTGTTTAACAATCTGCTAATTCAACTGTTTCAACACTTGACTTCAATGCTTTGAGGTTAAATCAGTAGTGTGGGCTGTCATCTGCGTTGAAGGTGACAAAAATAACAAT